AATCTTAAATTGTTTCCTAATTTGTATTTGTATGAATCTTTATTCAGTAAATAGTTTAAACTAATTCATTGTCCTCGACAAAGGTCACGACGCTGTACCTAGTCCTACTATAATGCGGGTGTTATCATACCGTTCCTAGTTTGAGCCAAATAGATTATCGAATGTGTGCTAAACGGTAAACCCATCCTATCTGCAATAACAGATAATGCAATGCGTATTTAATACCACGTCGGTGGAGCGCGCCATCTATGTAGTATTTGTTTGTTTCGTTTGAGAAGGTTAATGGCTGATTTCAATTGCATTGTTGATCTTGTAGCAATGTCAAGATGTTTCCATACGAGTGAGAACTGTATTAGGCATTAAGTTCTTTATTTTTTCAGTCCTACCATGAGACGCAGTGATCTAAAAATAGTTGCGGGTAAGTATATAAGAACCCATCGACATTTTACTTACTGAAAATGGATTCACGTAAAACGTATAAGAATTAGATAAAATGTCTGTGGCTACACAACTACTACGCTGTAACTGGATTTACTACGCAGCTACGCCGTAGCTCACCTACGGGTCCTTAACAACCGTGCTACGCATTTGTGACATACTACGCTGCTACGACGTAGCGGGGGTGCAAGAGATAAAATAATGTTTTTTTTTGTAACGTTGCCCCACCTAGGATTATCTCTTGTGTCGTGGAAACATACACGTTCACATAAACATGACACCCAGACCCGAAACAACAATTTGTGGATCACACAAAGTGTTGCTCCGTGTGGGAATCGAACCCGCGACACGTTACACAGCAGCCGGTTGCCCAGCCACCGCACCAACCGTGCAGTCGAATGACCTCTACGTGGGCAGAAAATTATTTGTCTAACTAAATGACTGATGTCTAGACAAAAAGAATTCTTTCATAAACTACATTTAAAAAAATTTACTCCAACCTCCTCTTTTTTTGGAGTCGGTTAATTAGTATACTACTTAAGTGTCTTAAGTGTAACAAACACTTTTCTGAAAACGACATCAAGTTCAACCAATCGCGAGATATCGCCCACATACATACATACATACAGGAATTGAGAAACTCCTTCTTTTTTTGAAGTCGAATAAGGGAACAACTTTTTTACAATCGCCTAACTAAAATGTAAACTGAAGGATTCGTGCAGTAATAGTAGTGACATATTTTTAACTTATTGTACACAACGCACAACAACACTAACCCGAAGCGATCTCCATGCCGACAATCATTTCATTCATCATTGGGGGGGAGGGAAGAATTAAGGTAAGGATACAAATAAGGGAGAATTACTAATGGCTTTACATTAATTAGCTAGGACCTACTGACCTGCTGAAAATACATTAAGTTGTCGCGAAAAGTCGTAAATTATGTAAAAGTTTCGTTACACTGCAAATAATTAATTGAAGCCATTAATTTATGACTTCACCGAAAAGACATGCAAAAGCCATAATCATTAGGAAAAAAGCTTTACCTACAAAAACTTAAATGCTGTAGGTCTCGCGGGTATAGGTATAAGGTAAAACGGGCTGATTAGAATTTATAACGTATTTACATATTTAAATTACTGATTGCCTTGTGGGCCGAGTGGTCGCAAGTACGACTGCCGGGCAAGGGGTCTCGGATTCGATTCCCGGGTCGGGCAAAGTACTACAGGGTTTTTAAAAAAAATCTCAGTAGTAGCACGGAGTCTGGAATTTTGCCCGGTATATGGCAATAGGTTCACCCCCTATTACAATGGAACTCATAACATTAATAGTGAAAAGTGGGTGTTACATTGTACAGTGGCATAAAGTGCACCTCTGCCTACTCCTTCGGGGATAAAATCAATAGATGCCTATTGAAATATTAACTTTAGGTCAATGAAAATTGTCTGGGGATCGATAAAAATATTAAAACATCTGTTATAACTGTTATAACACTAACCAATGTTAGTGTTTAGTGAACTCATTTCAAGAGAATAATTATTTTCTAAAGCGTCTTCGACATCCGTCTTAGGAGATTGGCGTCAGGTGGATGGATCAAGGTCCCGATACAGAAGGCAGTTCTCATTAACCGGCACGTACCATGAGGAGGTTTCTGTCTCTAGAGCCCTAACCACCGTTAACTTGGACTAAGCTCCCGCTACTGGTCGGCTCCTATTTTTAAAATATTATCACTTTTATTTTTGTTAAGTACTATTTTGAAATGGAATTTATAGAGGATTTTAAATAAATATATAAATAGTAAACAAAGTTGTAAGAATTATATTCTCCGCAAATGGCGTTCGCGTGAGGAAGAAAATTAAATGTTACTCTGATTTTTATTCATAAAACAAGGGCATTGGGCTCGTTCTATTTCATAATAATATAGCCGTAAAACTAAGGGTCAAAAAATGAAAAAAAGTAAGTCAGGTGGTATATGTAAAAATAAATACCAGAAATGTGTCTAATACGCACTCATAATCTTTTTGTTGTGTTTTAACAATGATTTTATTTACAACTCAGGTTTCAAGAGAGACCTATTTCAAATCTCTATCACAAATGTAGAACCTATAATCTAATAATAATTTTTCCCCGGGACACCATGACGACGCAACCAGTCGCCGCGTCCAAAAAAATGTATATAATACTCTATAAAGAGTTTACTCACACGGTGGTGGCCGGACTGGCATCTGAGTGAGTAACACACCATACAGCGCCATAGTAATTAGTGGCGGTGGGACCAGTGTGAATGAGGGACCAGTAACAGTCTGTGCTGACGTCCGAAGTAGTTGCACCACAAGACTGGTTGCGCAACCATGCGACCACCATGTGAGTAACTCTCCATAGACCTGCATTTTGTTGGTGGTGACGGCTGGTTGCGCTGCCATGGTGTCACGGTGAAATATAATAGCCATTAGAGGTCTATTTTAATATTATCGGACTACGCACACGACAGTGGCAGGTCTGCTTGCGCCGCCATGGCGTCCTGTGACTCAAAAATAGTATGATTAACTTCTAAACAATTTGCCGGCGCTAGGAATTTTCCTGTACTGCAAATTAGTATGGACTTCGGCCACAAATGTCACTCGTCCAAACAATCCGACCCGGAACAACTATCTGTGTGGTATACAAATATTTGTGCTGAGCTTGAATTACATCAGTTTCCTATCGAGGGCTCTAATTTAATCATAGATCAAAAATAGAGTGAACTAAATCTGGAAGCAAACCACAAAGAAACCCTTTCGTACCCTATCCGTCTATATTTAGGTACCTACTATCCCTAGGTTGTACTATAAACATACGTTTTAAAGTAGCAGTGTAAGACCTAAATCTGTTTCTGTTACATGGTGAAAAAAAATTATAAAAAAAACTATAAGGGAGTTATTAACAGCATCGGAAACTTGCTTGTTCATGGTATGATTGTACGGTATCTTTTTTATGATATTTAAGCAGTATAATACTAAGTAACATTTACCTTAATCAGATTATTGTTATTATTTAAAATTTAAAATGTATAATGTGTGAACGTAAAATACTACTTTTACAGCGTAGTGGTAGATATTTCCGCACAACAATAGCTCCCACATACATAGGTACCTACGCAAAAGTTACGCCACGACAGTAGTAAAACAGCCGAGGAAGAACTCACATGACTGTACAATCCGTTTAAAAATTCCCAATAAAATACCAATCACATGATAATTCAGTTAATGACAGCACATTTTGAAGTAGTCGGTTTACCAGATATGTTATGCAGTATACCTAGTACCTATTTATCAGTATGCCTCGTGGGCCTCATTAAACTTTCAGAATGTAAATCGGTCAGCGAGAACAAACGGATAACACCTAAGTTTATGATGTCTACTGCCATTAAGGGAGTCATCAAATCCACAATATAACGATTAACGACCCATTAACGTGTTGTTTGAGACTCTCCATAAGTTATTGTTACGATTTTGTGTTATGAATGGTATCTATTAAAATTTAATTTGTAATAACTTTATGTCCATGAATGGTGAACTAGTTTCATAGTATCTAACTAGTACATGGCATAAGTACCTACTTAGATATTTATGTACTTAGGTATGTATATCTATAGAGATTGGAATTTTTTTGAGGCTGTAAAATCGTCCAGTCAGTCACTTTTCCAGCTTTGGGTTAAGCGAGAGGAAGTGTCAGACTCTTACTGACTAAAAACCACCCCGTTCCTACTCCTGTTCTTCGAGCCGGAGCCCCGGCAACCTGTTAATGCTTCTGCGGCTCAGTACCTATGTAGGTACATGATAACCTTCTCTTCAACCGGCTTAAAATACAAGGAGGAGGTTCTCAATTCGACTGCATTTTTTTTGGACTGATTCCAATATATTTTTTTTTATTTAAAACGGCTGGCTCGTCGTCAGTTCAGTATCTGCAGACAAGATCTCAGGGAAACCGAGGCGAACTTTAAATGATTTTAGGGGCGTATTTATTTAAGCTTCGCAAGGGAAGTCACTACTGCAAATTTGAATTCAACACTTACATACCTATCAGCATTAAGTACATAGTCATGTATGTAGGTACCTACCTAATCAGTTAAGCGGCTGACCAACCTATTGTAATCAGGTTTTCGAAGGGTAAGCAAAAAATGGGGTTCCTAATTTTAACAATAGTGGTTTGTCTTGATACATGACGATGCACGTGAACGTGAACCTTAAATTGTGTTGTAGGGAACGAAAAAGTATTCTTTGAACAATGCGCCATCTCACAGACGGTAGCAGAACTAAGTAGTTGTCAATGCTGCCATCTAGCGATTATTCTATGAAAGTAAACCATAGACAAGATTAATTGTTTTCGTTGACGATTAATAATCGAGAATAAATCTAATTATTTCAATGTGTAAAATTTGATTTCATCAAATAACTAGCCATTTATTATGTTCAATGTGTAAGATTTACAATACATTTCATTCATAAAAGAGAAGCTAAAAGCAGAATCCTGTTTTATTCATTACCTGCTATTTTGTCTATGCCTTGCTCTATTATTTTGCGCCTGCGCTCTTGATGGTCTACGCGACGTACCTAAAATCATTTTGTGGAAAATTTGAAGTTTGTTGTTATTTGTGACAACTTATAATTCATAATTATTTATGAAAGCTCCGTGCTAATTACCATTCCAGGCGCGGGGCAAGATTTCACTGTGGTGGTTAGCCTGGATGCGTTCCGACACTATACTTCGAGCGGTGTACGGTAGCCATCTTGGAATCGAACAAAGCTTCAGATGTGTAGTTTGTCTGTTTATCAATAATTTTTGTGCATTTTCTTGTAAATAGTTTGTATGTTTAGGATATGTACGGAACGTTCGTCCATATGTGTAAATAGCTATGGCTGCGACAAGGAAATTACAAGGTAATTTGTTATGTTATCAGGTTAGAGATTGATTGACCCCAACCAATGTAGGTACGTGTTCTAGAGCATTATTGTCAATTGATGAGACCTCTGGCATACTGGAGCCAGCGGTGGCAAGCAGACTATGTGAAACGTGTGATAGTTACACGCGTACAGAGCGCTATGCGTACAGGTGGTCGGTAAAACTTGACAAACTGCCGCGTTTCTTACGATAGTAGTACTACGGCCACGATTTTATTGTTGTGAACTATCAACATAGACAAGCAGGCGATCTTTATCTGGCCTACCCCCAATATTAGTGTGAAAATCCCCAAACACCGTAGTCTTAATAAGTGACACGTTAGTGAAGCAGGTTTCTTGCATTAATGCAATGATGTGGTTTACAGGTGAAATAGACAGGTGTTTAAAAAAGGTAACAGAGGGAGTCGAGACATTTGATGACATCTGGCAGAAGGTTCACAATGCGACGAACAGTAACCAAAAGGAGAAGTATGAAGCAGACCTCAAGAAGGAGATCAAGAAGCTTCAGAGGCTACGGGATCAGATCAAGTCGTGGATCGCCTCCGGGGAGATTAAGGATAAGAGTACACTTTTAGAATATAGGAAACTAATAGAAACAGTGAGTATTGTTTGTTATTATTTACTATATATACACTGGTTAATCTGTGCCAGATTGTGAGTAGACTCCGGGCTATATTTGAGTAGAGTAAATGCCTATTATGCATGAACTTTGTTATCAAGAGCAGTCTTATTGACATTAAAAACAATGTCAAACAGTTGTGTGTTCATACTCTGTTGCCATATGTATGTGTAACAACAAATATTTGATACATTATTAATTATTATTATCAGTGTCTTAATTGAATCCATTTAAATTTCTGTAACATTTTCTAATTAGGTTATCATAAGAGGATCAAATCTTATAGCATTCTGAGTGTCTTGTTGTCTACCCACAACCCAGTATTAACTATTACATTAAAATCTGTAATTAATTACAATATAAAACATGTAAAAGTGGTCTATTACCATCATAACATATTATGTGTTAAGAAATTACATTCTACTATACAATACTTCCATGAAAATCACACTGATTTTACTAAACCACTTAGAACATACTACTGATCAAACTACAAATATATTATGATCTACCTCCACTGCCACAATTAAATCTTATCCCTCTTTTCAGTTCTACATACTGTAAAATAATACCATTTATTGAATTAAACCATCTAACTACATTTATTTCATAATTCGAGTGAATCCAAAAAGTTTGTTACAGATAACTGTTAAAATGTTGCTTAAAAAATATCGGGCTCGGACTATATCTGATATGCACAACATAGCATGGTTATGATAACGTTAATAGACAGAATATACAGTCACCACTAAGTTAGATACTAATTGAACTATTAGTAATAGAATAATCTGTTCAAAAAACCTAAGAAGTTTTGCTTAACCTATAATAATTGACTGTTTTTAGCTTACAGTAGTGTATTCCTGTACCATTTTTGACATACCAAAGTAAATAATCATTTACAATAGTGGAATGAACTTAAAAGCTCGGTGTTAGTGATCCAATCTTTTACATTATATTTCACTCATTTGAAAACACCATGTGTACTCTAGAATCAAATGCATAGGCTTTTCTAAACAATAAATATTGTGAAATGACCAATACTCTTATTCATGAATATAGCATAAAATGCTCCCTACTACAATTTTATAATGTCCTAAGAATGCTAATAGCTTAAGTGCTTATTTTCACATCCTTAATAAGTATTATGTTATCACAATAACACTGCCATTACTGGAACTGGTATTATGAAGTGAAGAATGTAATTTTTAAAATTTTTTCATATTAAAAATTACAGTGACCAAGAAAGTTTTAAACTAGTTTAATAAAGTTTATTGAATAACAAACTTGTTCCATGATGCTTCAATACTTTTTTGCAATGATACCAATTGATTCTGTCTGGACTCTTTATTACTATTTTCAACACTCAATTGCACTGTAATGTGTATGCATACCAAACAATGTCAAGAACTTATGCACATTACTAAATTAAAGTTGAACATGTCGATCAGAATCAACTCAATGAACTGTTAAAAACTTGCGCACTTTCGTAATACTACTTACCTAAATTAGAATAAAGAAATCAACTTTCAATGTAAGTTGTAATTGTTGAATTGTATTTCAACATTAATTAAAGATAATGCAGTGTATGACACACCCCCAAGTTTCATAATAACATGAGTGACTGATCAATCTTACGACTGGTGACACAACTTTATCAATGAGATAAACATGCATTTAATAATGTCTACGCTTAGGAACAAAGCGGTGCTTTCATTCGCTCAAGGCAAATCAAAGTCATTGTTGTCCATAGCTTCAATCAGTTATCTTATTTGGTAAAATATTTTTGCCATTCATAGGACGAAGTTTGGAACTCTATTTATTTATTATGAGCTATTAAAAAAAAACAGCTGTAACTTTTAACAATGTATCATGAATGTTAAATGAAAAGCTAGTCATTATTTTTAACCCAAATTAGTGCAGTGTGAGTAGTCACTTACTGCAAACTGATGATTCAATTATTATGTATTTTAATTATAACAATAGGCTAAAAATAAGTTATTTGGACATTATGCATGCTAATCAAAATTTTGCTTATGTAAACTTTATAGTCTATTCAAAATGGCTCAAAATTAGGCCTATAGGCCTACTGTATACAGTACAAAAGTTATCAAAACATGATGTTTGCATCCTGTAAACAATTTGTCATGTATTAGATACATGTGTGGCACAGTTAAAGTGATTTAAATTCAGAGTTAACATTCTGGCTTCAGTGCAAGAAACTCAAATGTTTCATAATCCTTGCATGTGTATGTGTGTGTCATTGAACTCCTAAACCTCTGCGCTGAGATTGATGTAACTTTTCGTGTGTTTTTTAGCAGATTCTTAATTGCAGTTAGGTTCACAATGAAAGCCATAAATGGAAAATAGTCTTTTGGATCCTCACGTTATATTCCAATAATAATTGATGATTATTATTCTATATTATTATTTTTTCCATAGTCTCTGCCTACCCCTATGGGAGTCAGGCGTTAAGATATGTATTTATGAATGATGCCGTTATACTAACTATAATTATTTGATTACTCACAATTTACGTTATCTGCACAAGTTTTCTTGATTATTAAGGAAAAGTTTATCAAGTTAATCTTTGTTATTAAACAAACAATAAAAAACTTAGATGCCAAAGGTAAAATGCCGCGTGAGTTGAGTTGAGTAGGTACCTAACAATTATGTGGAAAACAACAAGTTTATTTATATCATTGTTAAGATTTCAAAGGTTACAAAATATTCATTTAATTCTTTGCTATATTCCTGTACTAGCTGTTACCCGCGACTTTGTCCGCGTTGAATAATGACTTCTGGCAGAATTTAGGCTTTTGAATTAGCCTTCATCAAGGCTAATTCAAAAGCCTAAATTCGTTGCCGCAAGGCTTTTGAATTAGCCAACGAATGTCGTCAGAATTGATTCAGTGCCTAGTATATGGCTCCTCCCCCGTAGATGATAGCGTGATTATATGTAGCCTATATGTTGACCCAACTTGTTAGTAATATTCATGAAAAATTTGAAGTAAATCCATGCAGAACTTTGAGATCATCCCGGATATACGTATAAATATAGATAATCTTCACAGTTACTAAATTACCAGTAAGGTGGACTTTCGCACATTATGAAATATTTGTTGTGTTTAAGACTGATTAGTTAGTTAATCAAACTGTATAATTAATTATTAACTTGGATAAAACTGGACTTAGGAGACAGTCAATAAGGCATTAGAGAGATATTTTATGTTCTTTCATGGTTAAAACCATAGTTATTATAACGTAAAATGAAATGATATTATACATGTACCTATTATTACCTATATTTATATAATTTTATTTAACAAGAATACGGAAGTAGCATTCCAGAATTTCCGTTTTCAGATAACCATATTGCCGTTATCAGCAAATACCAAGATTCACACCAGACACTTTATTACAGAATTTTAAAATCGAAAATGAGTACATTAGAGATTAACCCTTCAGTTAGTCAAATTATCCAGTGAAATGCACCTTATAAAATTTGATAAACAGATACTAATGACGTGCTTTCTCCGTTTTCAGCAAATGGAAAGGTTTAAAGTAGTGGAGCGGGAGACGAAAACGAAGGCGTATTCCAAGGAAGGGCTGGGCGCGGCGCAGAAGCTGGACCCTGCGCAGAAGGAGCGGGAGGAAATGTCCTCGTGGCTCGTCTCCTCCATCGACGCACTTAATTTACAAGTAAGTGCTGACGGGGCGCGCCACACGCAACTAACAATATCGCTCGAGCGTATATTGGCGAGGTATTGTTGGCTTGCGTACTGCACACCTAGGAAACAGATAGACATAGAACTAGACGACAATATTAACTAATCTAACAATATACGCAGCCACTAATGTCGATTTAATCATTGTTACCTTGATCTGACACTGGAGCCCGAAATTAATATTGAATCTCAATCCCGATCTCCCAATCTTTATTCTATGATTTGTCCTCTAAATTAAGGACAAATTGAATAAATGGATTGGCAATTGGCAATTTGCAAACTGAACCAATCGATTTAAATGTCAAAATTTTGATTCGGATGGACTATGAATTTCGGACGCTTGGTGTGTATAATTTGTAAATAAGGAAAGTAAAATGACTTACATGATATCGAATAAAGTATCGATCAGTTTGAGCAACAGTTTAAAGTATCGAGTACATGGTCTAAGAGCTCACTTAGCATCGCAACGATCATATCGATACTTGCTTCGAATCCTGGAGCCACGAGCAGGCAGATTGAAAATACGCTCTCACTCTTTAATTGTCATTCTGAGTAGAAGAAATAACAACTAATGTATTAATCTGCTTTGCCAATAATGTTCTCGGATAGCTTCTAACGGTGCGCGATTTGACGGATTCGCACGCTATTACAAGCAAAGTACACCCAGTTGCCTATGAACGATCCAAAGAGGAGCGTGCGACACAGTGTCCTGCCACAGAGCACTGCGTTTGACATTTCTTTGATCCGCAATAGGGTGTAGTGCTAGTGACATGAGTGCATTGCTTGTCGGAAATCTCTCACCTTCAGAAGCCACTTGTATGAATAATCTGAATTTATAACATCAATTACCGATTGTCTTCTTCAAAATTTAAGTTTACCGAATAGACAGATTTTCACGGTTATGTAATGTACAAATCGTTTATCTGAAAATCTGTTTATCGGTGCAACGCTACGTGCCGCAACGTTACGGCGCCGGCGGCTTCGCGACTACTCGGTCGTATGCCGCCGGGCCAACCAAATGTCGCGGGGTCATCGGTTCTCGCTCGAGTCCACGTAGCAGCATCGCGCGCCAATTGAAACTGGTGTGTAGTCTAGTTAACGTTTGCGGGATTGTCAAACAATTATGCCAATTTTGAGTTAACTTGTTTGACAATTCCTGGCAATCTTTAGCGTAGATCGATGTTATTGGTGTTATGATAGCTGTAAGTTCCTATCACTGTTATGGCCTGTGGCAGATGAGGTAGTCACTTTTCTATCAAATAAGATTTTCAATTCACAAAAGACTAAACGATTACTATGACAATTATATCAGTTGACTGTCTCTGGTCCCCTTATAACAGCTGTCACACCAACTCTCATCGATCAGACTTGACACCAGTGAGATTCTCTGTAGAAAGCTTAAGTTCATCAGTGTTGTCGTCCAAAATATTGCTTTGCCTTTGGTAATATTGAATGCGATGTGCACTTCCTAAACCAAGCTGGCCAGTTTCCGCTTATTTATCAATGTTACGTAGAAGCTCTATTTAAAGTAATCTTTACATAACATCAACGTGCCTTTTATTCCCTGAGGGAGCAGGCAGAGGTGCATGTATGAATGTCACACCAATTTGTTAGTGGTTATGTTGGGAGTCTCATGGGCAAGTCCCTTATTTATAGAATTTCAAAATTCGAAAAACCTAATACATAAGTTCCTCGAATGTTCTTACATTTCGGCCATTTGACCACCCCAACCACATAGACTACAAACTAAAATGTGCCTTAATGCCTCAGTTGTTACTGGGCGACACATCATCAGTCAGTATTTTACGCACATTAACTCACTATGAAAAGTAAAATAAAATTACAGAATGGATAGATGTGGTGGTCAAAAGGTTATACATGTGAAAGAGGTCTTCTTTGTAATAGGGATGTTTCCAACTGTGTCAAACTCAACACATATTGCATCGTAAGACTACAAACTGTGAAGTCATAGCTTTTGTGTATCATCTGTCATAATTCTTCCTCACAACTTACCTAGAAAATTAAAAGTACAACGCATGCAATCTAATCAATGGATGAAACTGTACTCTTGACATCAATGTATTGATAAGCTGAATTCATTCATTTTGACTTCGGAAACATCCCAACTGCCTGTTTGTCGTATGTTCGGAACTGATGAATGGTAGCTGTGCGGTAACATCTACTCGTGTCATAATACTAATGGTATGTTAACGATTGCAGGTTGATCAATTTGAGTCTGAAATAGAGTCACTGCTAGTGGGTAAGAAGAAAAGGTTGGACAAAGAGAAACAAGATCGGATGGAGGAACTGAAACTGAAGCTGGAGAAGCACAGGTTCCATATAAAGAAGCTAGAGACACTCCTGAGAATGCTTGACAACATGTCTGTCGAAGTTGAACAGGTTGGTACTAAAACCTTTTTTCATTTTGATACTATTTCAGGCTATTTTACAGCATTCAGTGTCTCTGTAAGCAGTTTCGAAACTGTTTTTCTGTATAAGTTTTTGTATACACTTCCGACCATTCAGTTGGTTTGATTTTCTATGCTATGAGTTGCAGTCTATACATACTCAAAAACCGTATCACCACTCTTGAACAATGGCGTCTAAGAGCGAGGAGTTGCGACAATCCCCACACTTCACAGCTGCCTTCAACGGATTCACAGTTAAATGACTGATAGTTAAGAGGACAGTGTTGTCCATCCCTCTGTGATTAGTCACAGTTTTGATGTACCCAGAACCAAAATCCCTACAAAGGACTGACAATTTTGTCGATTGACATGTTTGTGCGCTTGCGCCGATGTATAAATGGTTCTACAATTAAATTTAATGATATTTTATATAAGAAAATATCTTTCCTGTCTTATTTATAATATATTTCCTTGATTTCTTGTATATCTATGTGTAATATGTTGCTTAAAGACAATCTTTCTCAAGTCTAAGCAGGTGCATGTTGTATTGCAGATAAAAAGGATAAAGGACGACGTGGAGTACTACATCGACTCGTCACTGGAGCCGGGCTTCGAGGAGAACGAGTACATCTACGACGACATCCGCGGCCTCGACGACATCGAGCTCAGCGGCGTCGGCCTGCCTTCCTCCGCCACCACCGACAGCAACAACAGCAATGACTCCGCAGGATCTCCCACTAGCATGCTCTCAGGTACCTCAACACACTATAACAAGCTAACCTTCCTTGATAAATACTCTAAAAACTAATACTATCTCTATAGTAACCAAAAACTAATAAATAAATGCGTCCAGGTGACATGACGTAGCTAATTTTTAACAAAGCATGCCTCAAACAAATGTTTTACGCCTAGTCATTTCCTATGGATAAAGGGTGACTGACTTACTCAAAGTATTGACGCTATTTTCCAACATAACATTACTAATGTAATAGACTAAATTGTAACAAAACATTTTGTTCGATGGTGTTACTAATTACTAATCCCAATAAATTGATAGCTTAGTCTTGATAAACTTCTGTTAAAGATGTTTTACAATGACATATCTATCACATCAAAGTTTATTCCATACAAAATTTGTTCTACAATGACATATCTAGAGAAATTCGGACTTGATATAAATATGAAAGGCGTCTAATGTAAAGAGTTTATTTAAAAAGTATTGTATCTTTTACTTCCAGGTACAAGTCCAGTAACATCACCAACGTTAGAGGTACACAATCACTCAACAGATTCCATAGACGTCGAAAAAAAGAAAAAAGAAGAGATCATAACCAAAGTGAGTATACACACGGACATACCTACCTCATACCATTACACATATATTTATATTATCCATTATCTTGTCTCTTTTACTGCTACGTGGAGTTTTGATGTGGATTTTCCAAATTGATACTTATTTACGATTAGTTTTGGGTTCTAAATAGACAAACGAATGTTCACTACTAATTTTCGAAGATATCGAATCTTAGTAGGTCTCGAATCTTTTGTTTATGTCGCTAATTCGTTACATTAGTTTTCGTATAAAGTTACACGTTAACCCAAATGGTTTTTCATGTAAACTTTAATAGGATTAGTTCACTCTATTCTCTTGTCCATGTTTATTTATCAAGTAGCTTATACTTGCGATACCATCTCTTTGAATCTGATATATCGTAACAGGAAAATAAATACAATAATTATGTATTTTAAACCAAAATATTAGTCAAAATAATCTACATTTATAATCTATTGTCCTTAGTAAATATGTATTTGATATTATGATAACTAACTGAACTTTTATCATGTCTAGAACAACATGGGCGTATATTTAAACACCAAATTTACAAAGAGATGCATGCCGTTTTATGTTTTGTTATATTGTTTATAACAAATGTTATATCTCACCGCTGTGTAAAGATGGTGTGCTCACTTACGCCCTTTTTGTTCTAGGTGTGCGATTTGTCTTTTTCGCCGACAATACACTCAAACTTGGTAAGTGCTTTTTCAATATTTTATTCCTAAAATATCAATCTCATATCTATATCTCAAATTAAAAGGATTTGAATTGGTCCTTCTGTCCAAATTTCTCCAAGAGTCTTGTAAAACTAATGTTTTCCCACCTAAAATGTCAATTTGACAAAATATTAATGATTATCTAATCTCTAAAACTAGAAAATTCCCTTTAACCCGTAGTATGCCGGAGCGTAGATCTACGCGAGACACAACGTATTTTGTATTGTGTCTTACATACGCATACAAGAGGTTAACAATAGTTGTTACGAACCCAAAACCAATCTGGAGCGAGTTTGTGTAAAATAATGTGTGATATATTTGCGTTTGCATTGCAGCCGGTAAAACCGCTGCCGCTGCGCGCGGGTAACGCGGGCGCGGTCAGTAACAGCACGTGTAACGTTAGTTCCTTGCTCAATAACTCCGCAGCATCCACCAATAGGTCAGTCCACTGACACAAGTCTATTTATTACCACCTTTATTGTCATTTACCCACATATACAGGACTGTTTTAATGAGAGAACGATATTCCTCGTTCGAAATAAATAACGATTTTAATTCGAAATCTTTGATTCGATCTCGGGTCGAGTAAAGATTTCGGATTTGTATAATTTCGACTGAAATACAGCTCTAAGCTTATACCTACGTATCGATAGCTTGTCACACCAACTTACTGATTCAGAATATACTAAAAGTATAGCTTTACGCTTTAGAAAGTAAGTAGTACAGTATCTTACGATGTAGAAATTTTACAATAATATGTTTGTGTGACAAGTATTGGAGACTAAAAGCTTTTTCTAATCGAAATTATAGTTGCGGCTTAGCGAGATACTTTTCCTAAGCGGTGCTTGTATCTTTTCTGTCGGCTAACGTTAAATATGGTTCAAGGAGGTTTACAGATCACGAATTATATAAAAACTATTGAAAATATGAATGTCTAAGATTTATATTCGGATAAAGACCTCCCGAAACTTTATTTAACATTTTTAGTCTATTGTTTCGTATCTACAGGTTCTTTACTATGTAAAGTAAGTCATTGTAATGCATGACTTAAAATCTCTCATTAAAATAATTGTCCTGCACACTCGAATATGTAGATAAAAAATAAATTCACATAAAAATGAGAATACAAAAAACGAACTGGCCTTAAACTTATATTTTTTTGTTCTCATTTCGTTGCGCGCATGATTCAAGCTCATTCTAGAATAATTATCATACAATCTGAATTATTATTAGACAATTTGTAGTACGGAATTGCTATTTTGTACAATAAGCTTATGAAGTTACGTAAATATATTTGTCAAACGCATTTTAATTGCACAGCTTTTCTTTATTTATTTTAAAATATTCCACAAATAAACTTCGTGCTCGGCGCGTACAAAATTGCCGCCGAACGTAACCTATAAGCTTATTGTAAGGGCAGTTAGCGACATCTCTTCAAATCTCAATGAAATATCTAGCAGACGTAGTCGTGACGCAGGCTGCATTGCACACTGATCTCTGCGATGCAAGCAATACGTTCCAAAGTCTATTAGGTGACAGCGCTGAATGTGCATACTAATAATTTATACATGGCATTTATTGATTTTATGAGATTCTATTTATAAAAGATAGTGTAAGTGACTTAGCAGTATCGGACGCACGTTTTCGTTTGTGATAAGAGTTTAGTTTGATGTTGGCAGTTCTTATTGTTGAATTCGCGTGTTTCGTGCGCTCAAACAGTTTGTGCAGTGTTAGTAAACATGGAAATGTTATGAGACCGTCAACAAGTGCCCGGAGTTTTCAAGGACGTCGGGAGATGTTCGGTTTTCACTTTCCCCTTGTTTAGTGTTGAAGTGAACGTGATGTTATCGATTTACGCTTAGATTTAGTTACGTATAACTGTAACCGTGCGTAGTTAGGTACCTATATGAAATTAGTCGGTAGCTGTGATTGAATAGAACGCAACAAGTGGTCTAGTTTCGCGTCGGGATCATTCGAGGTGACTTTATTGTTAACGAGCGGTCCGTCCTAGTGAGTTGCAACTTCCCGTAGGAAAATTGTGGAGATTAGTTAGGGAGTTGTTAGAGTGCGCGTGCAGTAGATGTGCATTGAGATTGAGACGGAAGGGATGTCGCGCGCGGGCCGCGGGCGGGCGCGCAGGGTCTGAGCGGAGCGTGTATGTGCAGTATAAGCACCAGCGCGGGCGGCGCGCCGGCCGCGTCCAGCTGCAGCACGCCCAGCAAGCCGCCGCCCGCCGACCTGCACCACGCGCGACACGCCGCCACCAACTGCGCCAACACCTCCACAGGTCAGTGCCACGATGTATCTAAGTGCATGTTGCCCAGGTTCAAGTTTAACTAATGACAATTTTTTACTAATTTAAAGATTCTTTTTGGAATGTATGATGTTCATGGAGCTGTGTATACTTAATACTCGTGTTTACCTAATACCTAGTATGCTAGCTTAATAGAAAATGGATAAACTATTCAGAAGGTTTGTAGGACATTGTGCTCTTGAGATATCTGAATATTTAGTTCTGACGTTAATGCAGGTCATGGTCAGTTACACGTAATTCGATTTTGTTGTTTTATAGCGAAACATTAACGAACATAAATCCACTTGATGTTAAACGTTTTATATTTACCTTCCTCCTAAATTTTCCTTTATTTATTTAAAGAATTGGCAGAAATTTTGATTCGCCGTAAACGAGGAAGTACCCACACAGCAACACATGACTGACAATAGAACTTGCCAAAATATATTTCATTGATTGTCAGCCGGAATACAGAAATAGCCCTTTACTGTCCGCGCCTCATCTTCGAACATAAATGTTTCCACACGCCGCGCCGCCAAATGATAAACCACCGATGAATTATTGCGGATATTCCCGTTCATGTTAATTGAATTAAATATTATTGGTTGCCACTTTAACCACAATTTCCGGCTGCAGCTTCAATAGCCCCCATACCAGCCCCAGCACCGTGCGACTCCCTCCACGTTCGATAACAACACAAACATACGCAACCCGCACATAATTAAAAACACACGTTATCATTACAACTAAACGCGATAACGTACGCTGCCATTGTTTACAAAATAAACAAAACGTTTATCGTCGCGAATGAATGGAACACGGCGACCGACAAACTCATTACGAAAACGATTAATCGTACATTGGCATTCCGCCAATATTCGTAAAATTTGCTAAAAACTGGCGGTAAGCCAGAGCGATGACATGGCGAGAGCGTCGGTTCAGTCGCTAGGCTGTAGCGGACGAGACCTGTGCCTAACTTTAGAAATAATTAAGAAAACATAATAACAATGGTTTCCCGCGCGAATGTACGATAAAACTATGGACGATGGTAAAGATATTGGTGTGGTGTGTTGTGTGTGCATGTATCGTGGCGGCAGTGGCGGCGGCGGCCTCAAGTAATGCCGCTACAACTGCGTAGTTTCATGTTTTGTGTCGTTTCTGTGAACTTCAATGGCGGTTACATAATATTTTTGTCATGGTGTGTTGCTTGTTTATGGGAAACATTTATTGTTTTGGTCTTCTTGACGATTTTTGTTGAGAGGTGAGCGGTGGCCCGGGCGAGGCTACTTCAGCTTTTTGTAAGCATCTAGATGTTTCAAGTCGATGGTTACAAAGATAAGATTGCTTGCATGCCACTTTACATTGTGTACGTGGGCACAAAATAGCGACAACATTGAATGAAATCACAACAGTGTTGTTTGCATTTTGACAGTTGTTGTGTCACTAATGTCAAACCTACGTTTCGAATCCCGTAGAGTTGGCACTGCTATGCGACTGTGTTTATTACAACATTAGCAACATAAGAGTAAAGTAAACATTACATTATTAGTAAATGTAATAATTATATTGCACTGTATTTTTTTCTTACTAACAGTTCTAAATACATGTGGATGTGGTTGGCTTTATTTTAACCAAATTAACAAATCATTATTTAGTTTATGTGCCTTAAATATATTTTTTAGATTTTCTAAGCTAAGTGTAGCGTAAACAACATTACAAAGTCAAAATGATAATATTTTTGTACAACGTCGTTGTTCGATCGACCGTTGCGATGCGTCAGAATTGGGAACGACATTTTTGACTGAATCATGCTCTTTCTAAACATGTTGACATAAAAATAATATGACACAAATTCTTAGCATCTTTGTCTCAATATCGGGGCGATGTATCTCCATTAGTTTGATAAATATACTTACTATGATTGTGTTCTCGGGGTGAATTATCTATATTTTTAATTTTTACTTTGAATTATAATAGGCTTTGTGATTACTCTTATAGGTGTACAGTTTTGTCTTTGATAAATAAAGAAACAATGAAATATTTAGTAAGCTTTTATTAGAGTTTTTCACATATTAGTTTTAGATTTATTAGTTATGTCCCGAAAGTAACTCAATAGACAAGTTGGCTACAATTTTAGTCATAAATAAAACTTAAATATTTACCAAACTCCATTGAGATTTGCATCTGTGTAATTAAAAACTCAGTAAATGAATCCCCAGGTTACCTGGGTACCAGTCTGCATTAGCTAGAAGTAACAATACAAAGTAGGTCAGCAAGCTATCGATCGCCTCCCTCCCTCAATATTAATTACCCTTATTTGTATTAGATATGAAGGTTGTGTGATCTGTACAGCTCACTCGACTACTGGTTTATGATAGGTATTCTGATCATATCTTTTTGAAAATTATATTTATATATGCCGTACTAATTATGATAAAAAAACAGAAAGTTTTGAAAACTTTACTGTATTTTTTGTACCAAGTTCAAGTATGAAATTGATTGACTTCGTCTAGAAATTAGCAGCGAGCTATTAAGATTATATAAACTTTCCGCTCTATGATACGGTTTGGTTTACGCACAAATTACATCAGATTGTGAGTGCGTAGCGTAGTAGAGACATAGCGCATCATTCAATATCCTTTACATTACTGTAAATTATTCTAGATTATTATCTATAATTATTCTAGATTATTATCTATAATAATTTACAGTAATGTAATGCATTAGCATATGTACTGAAAAATTGAGCATTCAGTCTTACATCACTTGAGTCACTCACCACATTTACTTCAGAAACACAAAATTACATTTAACTTCATCAATTTATGGATGACCCCGAAATTGAGACTTCACTATGCTTTTGAGTCACGCGAACAACGTTTGTGAATTATCTGAATGCTAATTCGTAATTAGTTTGTTTGTAAACATACAATTTAGCATTTGGCCGCGTTGTTATTGTCTGTGACTACAACTGTACGTATTGTGTTCATTATGTGATTGTCATGTTAATGCCCATTGCGTCAGATAATCTTTGTTCATTCATGTGCAAAAAAATAATACAGGGACATAATAACGTATGTTGTATTTTTTTAAAGCATTTTGCAATTAAGTGCTTCTATTAAGATAAATGAAAGTGGAATAAATAAATAAATATTTATTTTAAGTTTGACAACTACATTGTGAATAATGCCATATTGTATGTTACCAAAGATCTGAATAAATATTAATGAATAGTTTTGAAACATATTCTTATCCACCTTATTCCATCATTTATGACTTCCTTCTCACTAGATACATAATTAAATTGATTTTCTATTTACTGACATTAAACTATCATAGTTCATAGCTCCAATATTCAGTACAATAATGCAAGTGTCTGTATGGACATAGATCTCATACGTCAATATTTCTTATAGGAAAACGGTAATACAATATATTATGAACAATTTTCTTAGTACGTTTACACATTATGGACCGTGAAATTGATTGTTAGACAGTAGTGCCCTTACGGCGGCTGGCGTAGTAGCAGCGCGGCGTGAGTCAGCGCCACGTGCGCGCCTTGCGTGCGAGTCTCTGTTTGTAAACACGCCGCATCGATAACCGCTCACGTTTTACGATGCCGTGTCCTACTCGCTTCATGGTCTGCCGTGATAAACTTCATTTATGGTGTTACGTGTCATACTAATCATTATTCTAGGTATTCATTAAAATTATTAGTGGTATTAAAATTTACCAGCTGTATGAAACATCAATGTAATATAGTTAGGTTTGTGATATAACTACGAATCCAAAGTGAGACTTCGTGCGAAGAAATGTTCTTTTAAACTGTGTTTAAGTTTACTAAGTATTCCTTGTGTTGTGTTGCAGAAGTAGTGGAGAATGGTCCGGTGTCGACGTCGGCCGCGCACCCGGCGGCCCACCTGCCGGCGGCGCCCGCGCTACCTCCGCCTGTCAGTACTGCGTCTATATCTATACACTACCACTATTTATTTTCCTTTCATTCACTGAAACATGATACCCTAAGATTTTTCGTTTTCACAACATCTATAAAAGCATAATATAAATTATCAATAACACGATGCTTGATGTCTAGTCCTTCGCATCCAACTCCTACCGTGTCATACACATTATAGAACAAAAATTGAACTCCTCATTGGTGACAAATAAGTCTTTATTTATCATCAATTGAATGTATTAATTCCTTACAATATGTTTACAGACGTCAAAGAGTTCGTCAGTACCTCTACTTGGTTCGAGCGCGAGTGCGAGCGAAACGGCGCCATCGCCTCTTACCGTCAACGGGCCTAGCCAACCGCCGCATCATACGCCGCAACATGTTGCTAACAAGTAAGCACAAACATACTAAATGGCTGAACTCTCTAAGAAAAGTTGTCTTAAACAAGCAATATAACACACCAAAATAACCTATAATTAATTCTGTACACTAAATATTACGATAATTATTCTTTTAATAACCCCTTTAAAAAAATCGAACTCCAGCCACAATTTTTTTGAAGTCGATTAAAATATACATATTAAAGACAAGATCACTGCAAGAATCTCAACTTTAAAATACAGCTATAACTCATATTTCGAGAATGATTGCAGTTGCAGATTGGTAAATAGCTCGCCAATGTCAGGACAACAAGCGTATTGTAATGTCAGGTTGCGCGCTGAGCGCTGTAACTAGGTCGCCGCGACCTCTCGCTGCGAGGCTATAAAGGGAATCTCTATTGTAAATGGATAATGGGTCTATCTAGATAACTACGTAGTTGCATTCGTGCCACTGCTCGTCGTGTGCAGAATTGCCAGGAAACTATTGTTGACATCCTGATTTAGAAGCTGGGTTTGAGCTGGATAGAGTCGAATTAGTTAGATGCATGAAATTGTAATATAATTTGCGAAGAGAATGTGAACTCAGTTTAATCATTCCATAGATTAAGAAAATAATACACAACTTTATGTCATTCAAAACAAAAATTTGCATTCAATTTAAACATGAGATAATTTACCAATATAAAATAGAAAGAAAAATACCCAATAATTGCAATACTGTAGTATGATAGAAACAACCAGGGTTAATACGCCATCTTTTCAAATAAAGCTTTCAAATACATCTCGTCAGTAAGAAAACCATTTAAACTTCATAAATCTTAAATAAATCAACACAGCCTTGAAACAAACTACACGCGAATCCTTTCATTTTCTACAAGGACAGCGAAACTCCTGTCGCCGGGAATGGGGTCGCTTTATGAACTAGTTTCTCATAATCAGGTCACGGGCTGTAGGACTAGGTTATTGGGTCAGGCTACGGATGGTACAAGTTCACTGGGCTAGATAGACTAGACCATTGATATTTATACTAAGAGATCTACCCTTTTAGTAAGTTATTAATATTGATGCGCTTGTATTGATCGGGTTAAACAGAGATGTTTAAACTTGACTTGAGTGTTTGTTAAAAAAGTTTTTTGAAATAACAACGCAAGTTTTTAGTTCCGAATGACGGACTAGCAACTAGCAAGCTTATTTAAGGGAACCAAATGAGGAACTTGCCTTTGTATTCTTTTTTTAATTAAATCTGTTTTCATTTTGATTTAGCTACAAAATTGTATTGTAACTTTCGTGAGACATATTAAATAAATTATTATGTTTTCGGCTTACTCGCGTAATAATTTGACGAGGAACTCGACTAGTTTCAAGCCATGCTAGAGGCTCATATTCATGAGCAGCATTTCGCGACCCGCGACGCGGCGACCGTCGCGCTGCTACTGCTCAGTAGTCAAATTATTACAAGAGTAAGCCGAAAACATAATAATTTATTTAGCTACAAATTATATGGGAATGTTATCATTAAATATATTTATTGCTATCTGCTTTAACGTTGAATTTCTATGTATTTGCAGTGGTAGAGTGAGTGAAGCGTCGAGTACAGGCGGGCGCGGTAGTAGCGCGGGCGCGGCCACCGCGTCACTGAAGAGCATGGCGCAGGAAGCCGTGCAACGCGCCGGACTCGATCAACATCACCCACAGGTATACTCATTATCTAACTTACCAATCTCCTTACACCTTACAAAAATAGGGTAATATTGTGAATAGATCAACACTACCACTTTAGATCTAAAGTCTTCTGGAAACTATGAAGTGTATACATTCATATAAAACATTTCTCCATTTTAAAATTTTCTTCTGTATCTTGAGCTTGATGAGTACTGAGTAATCATCACATCTGGAGTCGGATCAATAAGTTGTGAATTTAACACAGACTTTCGTACGAGATTCTTACCTATGTCACATTATACAATGGCTCCAACAACTATGAAGTAAAAAAAAATATATTTGTTCAATATTTTAAAGTTATTGTTGTATGTTACAGAACCTAAGACGAGGGGCACCCCTAGCGCAAGCGCACATTCCTCCGTTACTGGGCGTGGCACCGCTAGGCCCACTACCACTCAACTCTGTAAGGACGTCACTGAGTTTACTAAACTATACATACTAATCCTTCATATCTACACTACTAACAACTCTCTATTTTTTTAACAGTTACTTAGTGGTGTACTAAGTAACTGTTAAACTAGGTATAACATTCTGTTCTGTACGGGTTCATATCTAAATTTCAAATAAGAATAAGAATTTCATAAATGGTAAAAAGATTAGAAGACATAAGTCTACACTTTTGAAGGAGCAAAGAAACTTGACTTGAACCTACCTAGATGTTTTCCTTGACATTCAAAAGTGATTTTTACAATCCTTAGGTCTATTTAAAATGAAATATAAATATTTGTCTTTTAATTTTGGTTACTGGAATTAATTTTCATTATTTGTTAGGTACAAACTAATTGCACGTTGTCTTTCCTACACATAAGTGTATTAATACTAGGTACAGTGGGGTTACCTTCAATAGCTGTATCATTGCCTTATCAAATTAATGATACTGATATGTTTCCAGGAACATCAGCTACAGTTCCAAATGTTGGAATCATCGTTCTACCACATGCCGCACCCGTCCGACTCGGAAAGAACGAGGGTATATTTACCGAGAAATATATGCCCCACGCCGATATACTACAACCAGGTCAGTAGGCGGCCGGGGGAAAGATACCTAGTAGTTTGCATGCCGACATTAGCTGGGGTCTGACAGGGCGTCGAAGGTCGTTAGGATAATATAACACTTGCATCATTTATCTGTGTCGGTAATGTAAGCCATATACCCATATCTGCAGGTGCTCCTCCCCCATTCGGACTCCGTGGAGTTCTTCCAGCGACTATCGACGGAGACATTATTCTTCGTGTTCTACTACATGGAAGGCACGAAGGCACAGTACCTCGCTGCCAAGGCGCTCAAGAAGCAAAGCTGGCGGTTCCACACCAAGTACATGATGTGGTTCCAGAGGCACGAGGAGCCCAAGGTCATCAATGAGGAGTATGAACAGGTAACTTAAGATTTACAATTATGAGCAGTAGAGGAATTTTTTATAAATCTAGTGAAAGAATCGAAAAGTCTGGTCAAGTAGTAACGACGTGTGTGTATGTTTGCAGGGCACATATATCTATTTTGACTATGAGAAGTGGGGCCAGCGCAAGAAGGAGGGCTTCACGTTCGAGTATAAGTACTTAGAGGACCGTGACTTGAACTGAGCGTGTCAGTGTCCAGCGCCGCCGCCGCCCCCGTGGAAGCAGTATTGTCCGCCGCCGCGGCCGTCGCCGGTCCAGCGAGGCTGTGTCCGTGCACTACAGATCTGAATACCTGAAGCCTGAGTGTGACTCGATGCATGAAGTGAATGCCGCGTGCAGTGTGTGAGATATGGCGTAGTGTACAGTGCACCGCAGGAGAGGCCTGTATCCCGCAGTGGACTCGGGGCACGGACCTCGCGGCCGGGACCTGCGACTGCGCCGCGGGCGTTAACTAAACTCTACAAAATAGTGTATTTGAACATATTCTGGCAGTTTGTAACATGGAATAAGTTGTGAGGATTGCAAGTCAGTTAGTATTGAAGCCGAAGTGTTTGTAAACTGTACACAAGAACGAACAAGCGAAAGATAACGTGAAGATTAGTTTCAGCCATACAAGGTTGTTAGTAGCGAAACATGTGATATTGTTATAGGCGCCCGGGACGGCCTCGACCCGCGCGATAGTATCGGGGCCGCTGTTCCGGCGGACCGGTCCCTGCACAATCCCTTACGTTCGGTTCCACGGAGTATAGAGTAGGCTTGTGTTCTTATGTCCTTGTGCAGTGACCGGCCTGACACTGGCCACCGATGACCGAAGTGATGGAAATCTCCATAAAACGGCTAACGCACATTATAATTGTAGTACTTTTATTGGAGCATTTTAGGAGCGTATGGCTTTAATATATAATTTAATGAAATTAGCAGACGTATTAGTACGGACTGGTGAGATTTGTTAAAGGAAAGAAGTTCGAGGTCGCCCCGGGTCATTTGTTTTTAAACTTGTGTATAGACATTGGAATAGTTTGAAATTATTTTAAGTGCCGGGGCGTGCGCACCACGGCCGCTATATTTGTGATCTTAATTTTTGTAGACTGACTAGTTTTCTTATAATTGTGATCAACGCTGGCCAGAGCCAGGGTTCAGTGGACGGGCATCAAACCGTGCGCGGCCGTAGTGCGCAGCGCCCTCGATACCTAAATATAACTACAATAAGGACCTCCAGTGTGATTTCATTAGTTTGCTAAGTAATACACTTTTTCACCTCTAAAATATGTATATTTTAGTTAGTGCATTTAAATTTGAACAAAAGTTAAATTATGTAAGAGCATGCATGTCACACTGCCAATGTATTATATTATTGGATAGATATACGGTATATATATTTATATAAATTGTACTTATTTATTGTTTGTGATAAATTTACGTGATGCACCCGCACCGCTTTGTATCGAGGTGAAAGAGTATATTATCGAAGGTAACGTGAACGCGAGCGCAATAGTGCTACTGCCAGATAGTAAGTCACCAACACGTCTTGTTTTCCATTGTCCATGAGAGCATAGAAGTAATTTTGTATTCAGTGAAGTAGTCGCATCCGCGTCGCGCAGCTCAATAGTTCGCGTCCCGGCGCCGCGTCGGTGCCGCGCCGGCATCGTGTCGGTGCCGCGTCGGCGCCGCGCGGGGCCGGGACGCCGCGGCCGGTGGCTAGGGAAGCGGTGGGTGAGCGGTAACTGCGCGCGATCTCGTTTATTACGTGCGTAATGTTGATAGTTTTCACTTTTGTAAAAAGTCTATCGTGAGAGCAGATGAGATGTGGTAAATAATTTAAAAAATTATCTGTACAGTTCTATTTGTATAGAAATAATAAATAACGATTAAAAAAATTAAAAACAACGTTGTGATTTCTTCCTAAACGCTTAGTTTTAAGTGCGTCGGTTTTTACAAGTGCGCGCGCGCCGAGTTTAAGGGCGTGACGCGATTTTCGCATTTCTTTTTTTTAATTTATTTTTTTATAGAAAGAAATGACTGTTTACTTTTAGAATAAACTGTAAGAAAGCATTGAACACATTTGTTTCGTTTGAGGATCGCTCTGATTCCCAGTACATGATTTGATGTTGATATTAACACCGCACAAAACTGCATTGCAACTCTTCTAACCTGCTTGATTATTTCTGTTAATATTTGTTGTCTGCTTATTATGCTATCCATAAGCTGGATGCAATCGACTAAAATGAAAGTTCAAATTTCGATCAGTGCCAGCAGCAATGAAATTTCTCAATGAATTATTTTCTAATAGTCATGCAACAATGAAAAATATTATATCCCTCTCTCCTTATTCCTCTCTATGCTAAGTAAAAGTAAAATGAAAACGAAAAGTTATATTCTAGACGATGCGATGTTTTGCTAGTAGCTGAAAGACTCACGAGACTACTGAAATAAATAGACACTTGATCTTAAGAGTTATGCTGAAAACCGTGCAAGGTGAGGTTACGTTATAAAATGGTAAGTTATAAAGGTAAAAGTGAATCATCAAGTATATAAAACAAATAAAGTCATCAAGCCACGGGTTCAATCCCCGGGATTTGATAAAATTTCAGTCAATAATTATTGTTTTATAAAAGATTATAAACTTTACACCAATGGGACTTGATTGCATATTTTGCTTCGTCGGCAAGTTGCGGACGACTACTGTCTGTTATTCGCAAAGTTTTGGGTTCGAACCCAGATAATACAGATGTACAGATTACAGTAGATTGCTACTTCCTGCATCGGTAACAATGAAACAAAATAAAAGGCTATCTTGTAAAGAAATGAATAAAAAATTACCATTTCTATACTTTTGAATGAAAATCAAAATGGCTTTAGCCATTATTAAAAGTAACTAAATGTACCACTACTACCCCTTCACTTACGTTAGTGATAGAGAGAAGTTCTCTAAATTTCTAAATACTACTTAAAAAATATATAAAAATAGGAGCCGACCAGTAGCGGGAGCATGGTCCAAGCTACCGGTGGTTAGGGCTTCAGAGACAGAAACCTCACGATGCACGTCATTTCAAGAAGAACTGCCTTCTGTATCAAGCATTTGACCCATCTGCCCAACGCCAGCTATGTAAGGTGGTTGTCGAGGCTGTTAGGAATTAATCCATTTGCCGACACGACTATCAGCATAATGATAGCTGAATCCACACTCGACTGCCTCGTTGGCCGAGTGGTCGCAAGTGCGACTGCCGGGCAAGAGGTCTCTGGTTCGATTCCCGGGTCGGGCAATTCTTTACTGGGTTTTTAAAAATCTCAGTCGTAGTATGGAGTCCGGAACTCATAACAAAAATAGTGAAAAGTAGGTGTTACATTGTACGGTGGCAGTGCTGTAATGTGCACTTCTGCCTACCCCTTTGGGGATAAAAGGCGTGATGTTATGTTAAATATTCACTATTAGTCAAACGGCCACAACTAGAAATAATATGTCTAATGGACTACGACATGCCCGACATAAGTCAACCGTCCCATCCTTAATAATATATTTCCGGTAGTTATTCCTACCTAAGGATAACTCATAAGTAATTAAGTCTATAATTGCACAGACAAATCCTACAGTTTTCTCAAAGAGATTACAGAATCGTAGACAAGCCACGGAAACCAGAAAATCAACACTGGGGCCATGAAGGGCCCGGAAAAAGCGACCGTGGAACTCTTTGCTATGCCATACGTCCTTGCGATCATTGACGCTCAGTACCACAGGTTTGAGCCAGTTCTCTTTGCCAGGGATAGTGGAGTGAATTCATTGCCCACTGCTGCTACTTCTCGATGCATACCCTCGTTGACTTTCAACAAATGAGGTTGCACACCTCACGGTTGTGAAGGGTCTACGCATTTAATAAGCCTCGACCACCACATTTCCGCGGGATGTACAACCTCGTGATCGACGAACGAGGGTGATGCAAGCGACTTGTAGTTGTGTCCGAACTAGCCTATCCAGAGTGTCAAGTTCTGTTTGAGTCCATTTGATTATGCCGAAAGAATACATCAGGACTGGCATGACCCAACCGTTAAAGCCTTGCACCTAGTTTCCGCCTAAAAAGTTCCTTACTTTTCAGTACATTATTCAGGTGGCGTATTATGTGGTTCCACTGAGGGAACGAGATCTCGCTAGACGACTTGTATAGCTGTTTCTTTCCCTCAATAAACCATTCTGACTTTAGGACGTCATAATAACCCCGCAGGTGACCAAAGAAGCGCTCCTGTAATTATTGCCTCATGTCCGGCCTTGCTAATCCTTCTGACATACCCAGGTACTTGTATCTATCGTTTGTGCAGTTATCTCTAGTTCTAGACCCTCAGATTCCACACTAGTTAAATTATTTTTATGCAAATACTTTAATTATATCGACGGATTGTGCCCCAAAAATTTTTGAACCTTTGCATAGCAGTAATCCTGTTCATATTGATGATGAATGATATCCAAACGTAAACTATAACTTAGGCTTCGTGCTGCGACATTCCGTTTTCGTCACATGACGTTTCAATGTTTCGATACTATTACGTTACGAATGCGCTTGTTATTCGTGCTAGGCACTCAGAACACAGTAATGAAAAGTAAAGCTGGATTAGCCAAACATACCAAATGTGCCTTAACCCGTCGTTTGTCTAAACGTGGATCCACGCGAGACACAATGTATTTTCTATTGTCTCATATCGGTGCATTCAAGCGGTTAACCCATTCATTGCGGCAGACAAAGTTAACTTTATATTTCAGGTGCGGAGTGGTTTTCGTCTATAACGCCGATGGGCGTCCTCAGCACCTCAAATGGATAATACAACTGGTTTTTGCCAAGAAATATACAATTGTAAAAAGACGCTGGTAGGCGTCTGCTGCAGCGAATGGGTTAAGAAGGAACGTACCCATATACTTATCATACTCTTTGAAGGAATGGTCCTTGCTGAAGTACTTGGAATCCTAGGGAGTTCATGACCACCTTAAATAGTATAGATTCCATCTTTAATTCAATAGGATGCTTTACAGTTCCCTTAGAAAATTCTTATGGAGTTTTTTCAATAGGTCAACCCTAAAAAGCGGTAAAGTCCATAAAAAATAAAAAACGAATATATAACTAAATTATTTATTAACGTTTTCTTTTCTTGCCGCCATGTTTGATCTTATTGTTTGGCTTCCCCTTGATACGTCTTCGCACTCCGGCCGCCTCTTCTGTGTCGTCGTCAGAGTCAGCGCCGCGCTTCTTGCCTTTACTGCTCTTCTTGTCTTCTAACTCTTTCATTTCCTGTGTAAAAGGGGGTTTCATTAATATAACAACATAACATCACGCCTTTTATCCCCGAAGGGGGAGCCAGAGGTGCAGATTATGGCACTTAATATCAATGCACAATGTAACAGCCACTTTTCACTATTTATGTTATGAGTCCCTTGTAATAGGGGGTGAGCCTATTGCCATATACCGGACACAGTTCTAGACTCCGTGCTGATATTTTTTTTAAAAACCCAGTAATGCTTTAACATAAGGAAGTAAGTAATTATTTTAAAATAAGTGTATGTATCGTTATGTTTATTAAATTGAGAACTATTAATAATCTTCTAGTGTTGCGGGTTCCGATGGGCGGCACTGATCGTTTACCATCAGATGATCAGACCCGTAGTCGGTTTGAGGCGAATTCAAGAGGGAAGAAGTCTGAACAGTCCTGCTTCAGTTTTAATAGATATACATTATACGTACAATCTTAGTGAGCCGCTGTGCCTCTGCGACCCTCTCCTGCAGCACCATGACCTCGCTCTCCTCCGTCTTGTACAGCGGAAGCTGCTTGCCTATCAACTGCTCGATGCGCTGGTACAACTCTACGTCATACTGAAATATAATAAAATTAATTTAATATACCACTATTAATGTATAATATAGTGCTTACTGACGGACGGACTGACAAACTATTATTTATTTATTGACGTTTCAAAAGTACCAAAGTATGGTTTAATTGAAATAAATGCTTTGGAGTTTGAGTTTGGATGAGATCAGTGAATATTACGTAGTTTTTATGGGATAAGCCAGTCAACACCTTTTTGGCCTCCCGACGTAGTTACAAAAGTTAATTAGGGCGCATCAATAAATTAGATGAGAAAATATTATAATGAGGTTAGAAAAAAAAGTCTTAAGTCCCTAGAACAATTATGTGACAGAGGGAATCTTCGCTCTTCCGAACGTCTTACGATACGCAATTTTGTAAGTTGGGTGTTACCTACCCAAGGCAAACGCCTAATGTTATATTTCATAATTCATATATTTGAGATTTAAAAGTATTTAAACAATAATTTTCTAAACCGAAACAGAACATACCTGTGACACAAAAGTGATGGCTTTGCCGGAGCGTCCCGCTCGAGCGGTGCGTCCGACGCGATGTATGTAGTCCTTGCTGTGCAGCGGTATGTCCAGGTTGATCACCACGTCCACGTGGGGAATGTCCAGACCTCTGTAATATTAAAGTGTGAACATTTAAAATTAAATAATTATGAAGCGTACAAAGGAGTGATCAACTTGTTCAATAAATTTTCGATTAATATACAAGTCGAAAATGTTTTACATATCACTACATAGTATAAAACAATGTCGCTATCAGACGTCTGTCTGTCTCTTTGTATGCTTAGATCTTTAAAACTACGCAACGGATTTTGATGTGTTTTTTTTTAATAGATAGTGTGATTCTTAAGGAACGATTATATTTATAACACATGCATATTATGACCGTGCGAAACCGAGGCGGGTCGCTAGTTATTAAATAATTTTAAGTTTCGGTTATCTTGATATGCTGGGCTTTGCACATTCATATTAACTTGTATGTTTAAAATATTCTAAATCTTACATACTTTGGTAATTATATTTTAATCTTTTTGACGAACAAATGCTCCAAACAGTTATTATGTTAGTGCTTTACCTACATAAAAATGTTTTGAGAATTTTATGAATTAAATACTGTTCATTACATACCTTGAAGCGACATCAGTGCATATAAGGACGGAGCGACTTTTGTTCTTGAACTTGTTGAGAGCAGCGAGACGTTTGTTCTGTGACATCTGTCCGTGCAGGGGCACTGCGGCCACACCGAGGTTGCGCAGTAACAGCGCAGTGCGCAGCGCGCCCGCGCACGTCGCCACGAACACGATGAACGAGTTGCCAGACATCTCGTTTAGAATGTGGACTAGGTATACGTCCTGTGGAGTGATATTTGTTTGTTTATTGATAACAATTATGTATTCTACTGTCAATGTGCTGCCATCTAAATATATACAAGGTGTCCCTGAAGTCGACGATCAAATGGCACCAGGTGATTGGTAAGGTACCTTCAGTTATCAGAAAAATATTAAAATAAATGCAAGTTTCATAGTTTTTAAATAATAATCGACTTATGTATTATCCACGAAAAAGTACACCTGTGCTAGTTTTTTGACTCTTGTTGCTACAATTCTTTATTTCTTCGTATGTATTTTTGCTACCTATATAATATACATATTATGTATAATATTTTTGTCATAGGTATAGCAAACAATTGGCAATATACATCCAACAGGCTTTTCAAAAAGATAATGCTTCTTAACACTTACACTCTGAAATATGTTATGTGTTGGAATTAAATATAACATTATCTTACCTTATACTTAACGGGGATGAATAAGTAGTACTGCAGCAGCTTCTCAACTGTTTGGTACTTGGTGGAGACCTCAATTTTCACAGGGTCCTGCAAGGAAGCCCGCTGTAGCTTCTGCACCTTCTTGGTCATAGTAGCAGAGAAGAGGTACGTGCGTCGCTCGCGAGGAATCACGCGGAGTATCTTGTCCACTTCCACTTCGAAATCCATGTTCAGGATGCGATCTGCTTCGTCCATCACCTTTAAGTAAAGAAATTATTGTGAACACTAAAACTAGGGTCAACTTCCAAACAGCTACTTTGTTAAAATATAGAATAATTTGCAGATAAAATAAATCAATTAAAACGAAATATTTTGGTTAAGTCGGGGTAGCTTTATAAATAAAAATACACTTTGCTATTTTTGTCATTGGTCATCTAATAAAAACCACTTTTGGCAGAATTTGGGTTTATGAATGACTAGCTACATTCGCACGGCTCACCCGCTATGCTTATTGCTTGGCGCCTATTGATTGTAGTGTAATAGCCTATAGCCTTACTCAATGAATTGACTATCCAACACAGAAAGAATTTTTCAAATAGGGCCAGTAGTACCCTGGATGTTTTCACAGAGTAATTTCCTGTGGCGCTTGGCTCCTCCTTTTCACAGACCCGCTTTCACTTATCGCAACCGGTCATGTTGGTTGATAGAAATGTGTTATGTATTCGAAAGGGATCGAAACGAGTGATGCATGCTACGATTAGCATGTTCAAACAAACTCTGCAGCTTTATATGATAAGTATGAGATTAATCCATAAAATCACTATTTGCAAATCCAACTAGAAATGCTGATAAAATCACTTCTATATCAAGTATCAACTTACCAAGAACTTCAGAGCCTTCAAATTGAAACCCTTAGTATTCTCGAGATGATCGACCAGTCGTCCAGGTGTAGCTATGATGATGTGTGGCTTCTTGGACAGCATGAGAGCCTGCGCCACCATGTCCATGCCTCCTACTATTACTGCACATTTCACTCCGATACTTGCACCTGAAGGTTACATATGATTATAATCACATTTGTAATATATTGAATTAAGTAAATATAATCGGCATGCTGCTCATAAGGAAGACTCTGTGACTCAAAACTAGTAGGGCTCTTCTGTCTGATTACGAGATTTTTGTAGCTATTTCGTTGCGTTGGAAGTAAAAACACAACAACACATAACGTAACATCACGTCTTTTATTCCTCAAGGGGTAGGCAGAGGTGCACATTACGGCACTTATGGATCATGCTACTACTGAAAATTTTGTTATAAACATTAAATAAATGTCGTGTCATTAGTCGTGTCTAATAGGTGATCAGTTAATATCATAATAGTGGTAATTATTTATTAATTTAGAGGTAAATTAATAAAATTCACAATCTTACCAAGTGCCTCAAACTGTTCCGATATCTGGAAAGCCAATTCTCTCGTCGGAGTCAATATTAATGCGAAGTATCGTTGAGGGTTCTCCAACAGGGCTTGTAGTATAGGGAGGGCAAAGGCACCAGTTTTTCCAGAACCAGTCTCGGCCAACCCAATAATATCTTTCCCTTGCAATGCCACTGGTATTGATTCTTTTTGAATTGTAGAAGGTTTCTTCCACTTCAGTTCTTCACACGCTTCACAGAGTACATCTACTACACCCTAAAAAGTAATAAAAAAAATTAACAACATAACCTCACTTCGTGGTATTTTTCTAAAATAAATAAGTGTAGTAAGACAGTACATATTTACGCAGATATATGAAGTTATAGGAGTGCAACTAAAACTGTGTTGAGAGAAACATTAGGGAAATAATACCACATGCATGGTGGTCGTGCTTACCAAGTCTTTGAACGTCGTGTTGTCTGATTGTTCTGGTTGCTTCTCTTCTTGTTCTTCATTATCTGACTGCTGGCTATCATCTTCACTGCTACCGCTCTCCACGTCAGGCGTCATTTTCGTTAGATCGTAAATTAAACTCTACGAACGAACTAACAAACGCGGAAACGAAACATGTGTATCCAATATGTCAAAGTTGTCAACACAACTGTTGAACTGACAGCACTGACAGATTTGATAAATACGTTAAATTTTATTAAAAAAAAAACTAAAAGTTCATGAAATAAATAATAAATTTAAAATTATTTTTATGTCCTATTATTGTAGAACATTTATTTTAATATTGTAATCCATGTTAACCTATCTATAATTAACTTATCCTTAGCGTAATCTAAATTAGTGAGATTTTAAAAAACCAGTATAGTTCTACATTACAAAATAGTAACACGTTTTTGAACGAAATAAGGTAGCTCGTTCAAATACTATAACAAAATATTACAATAACTTTGATAATTAATAAATTTAACAATATAAATAATTAATTACAGATGTGGTATAAAATGATTAACTCGTCGAGTACCGGTTTTGTAGACACAATTATAGAATAGGTTGCGGTCACCGGTGACCGCTTGGTGTTTGACAGTTTAAATAGGATTGTTTAAAAGAATATTTAAGATTCCATGGTTTACTTTCCAGTTATAATAAAAAATTGAAATTATTATAATGCTAGTAACGGATTTCAACTTCTATTACAATTTATGTATTTTTACGTCAAGTAACATATTTATTCATATTTTCAGTCCACTTTATTTTATACCAGCTTCTGCCAGCAGCTTCGCCGCGTTCCCAGGAGTAAAAAGCCTTTGTATTACTCCAGACCATAATCTACCCCTGTTCCACATCCCAATCACTTCAACTCTCTGACTAGTATATAGTAATCTGTGACTTCAACCGTTTTGATGTGAAATACACACAAACACGCAAACTCGCAATATATTCTCATTTATAATAACAGTTTTAACTAATTTCAACCATCGGCCCTACACATTAGGTCCACAGTGGGTAACCTAACATTCGAAAAATCTATCAAGTTTAGTATAGTCAAAGTCAGCAGACAGATCACCTGATGGTAAGCGAACAGCGCCGCCCATGGACACCCGCAACACCAGAAGAGTTTAGTTAGTTTAGTTTTTGACCTCTCTACAGTTTTTTTATTTATTTAATTATCTAGGCGCAACACACAGACAGTGTACACAGGAGAATACATTATAGAAATGAATTGGAGGTACATAGGCAATATATATTCCCGTAGGAATCTCTTCATTTGTTGTATTACGTTTATAGATATAGATAAAATTGAACAATATTAGAAATATTTTATTGTAATAATGAAATCAATCAAACAGGTGACGTCAAAATCATGTAGAGTGTGGAAAGTAAGTACTAGGTAGCAATTTTCTGGACTATTTTTTGAAATTATGAGTTTGACCGTTTGTCGTATTGAATAAATTAAATAGGCATTTGTGGTCGAGACGTATAAAATTATACGGTTTATTTTGTACCATGAAAATTGTTTTTTAATATTGTGGTTTATTGGTTAACCATAACCAGTTAACCACTCACAGAGTCAAACGTCCATGGACACTAGTCTCTAAAGTCTCTAAAAAACTGCCTAACCAGTCAGTGGGAAGCCAGTCCCTAAGCGACTTGATCGCTTCAAACCCACCTAGTGCTTCATTTACTACCAATTTCTATAACATATCTCAATCCAAAATGTGTGGATTAAGATCGATTTTTGACAGAAACTCCGTAAAACTACTGTCAATAATCGATCTATAACGACACATTTTGGATTAAGATAGTTTATTGAAATTGGCAGCTATTATAGTTATAGAGCTATATCCAATAGTTATAATATGCAGAATAAACATTATATTTCAATATAACATTATATTCTACGCCAACTTTAGCGTATCTACAGCTAAAGTATGATATCTCACTCTTAGACATGCATGATATCAATCCTCAAATCACAACAGAAATACGTTTTTAGTAGAAAAAACTTAACAAAAACAAAAAAATCAGTAAAATAGCCAGGAACCAATTTAGAGCGCAACGGTAACAAAGGTGCTATCGGTACTGAACTTCCTGGGCGAACGCGGGGCGCCGCGCGGAGAGGTGGGAAGGGGTTCGTATTCCAGCGAGGTATAGAGAGTTGATTCTCCTCAGTATATATATATTCAGTATATATTGTATAGTCTATGGTATATATTGTATAGTCTATGGAGGTGATGCGCACGAGTTAAAAGTCTCATTCAGTTCTCTGTTTACGTGTTGTTTACGCACGCTACGATAAACAGCCAAACATCGTGTTTCTGGCATATGATTTCTGGATAAATCATGGCAAAGCATCATCCAGATCTTATTTTCTGTAGAAAACAACCAGGTGTTGGTAAGTCTATATACAGTTGAGGTTAATTAATAAAAACAAATGTGCAATTTCATTAAACAAATAAATTTTGCAGCTATTGGCCGATTGTGTGAGAAATGTGATGGTAAATGCGTGATCTGCGACTCCTACGTACGTCCCTGCACACTCGTGAGGATATGTGACGAGTGTAACTATGGATCTTATCAGGGACGATGTGTAATCTGCGGTGGCCCCGGCGTTTCCGACGCTTACTATTGCAAAGAATGCACTACACAGGAAAAAGATGTAAGTATTAACTAATTCAAATGTTAAAACGTAAAAAAATCCACATTCATCACATACAATTTGCTCAATTAAGATCTTTAACTCTCTGTCACACTTTTAACTGGTTGTTCGGTTAAGCTCTTTAAGAATAAAAAAATATTTCTTGTATTATTGGGCTTTGACCTTTTTTGCAATTGTAAATTAACACACAATGTGCTTAGATTTCCATTTTGGGTTAAGATATTTCTAGTCCTGGTTTTGAAGTAAAAATCTAAAATTCTGACATTTCACATATTATTATGTATTATTGTTACTATAAAAATATTATTTATTGTAATTTTGTTTTATTCCAGAGGGACGGGTGTCCGAAGATTGTGAACTTGGGTAGTTCTAAGACTGATCTTTTCTATGAAAGGAAAAAGTATGGATTCAAAAAACACTAGCTGCTGTTATTAGGATATCTTATTATTGTATAATTATTTAAGGTAAATCAATCATATCTAATAAAATACCATATAAAGACCATGAAAATATTTGTAATATCAAAGAACGGTGTACCTAAAAGTCTGTAAAACCAACACAAACTATAAAATAAGCACATTTACTCTCAGTTCTTTTTCTTTCTATTAGGTTAAGTTAATAAGTTCAGACTTCTATCCAATATCTATTTACATGGAAATGTAATTACATATAGGTTAAATGAGATGAAAAAAAGTCAAATAAAACATGGTATAAAAATAAACATGCCTTTTACCATGTTTTTTACATTTTATTACCATAAACATAAAGTGTACAAGTTGTGTACCATGGTCATAATTTCAATAAGGTCACTATTTTTTACTTTTGACATTAATGACGCGTGAGTTCTGTTATGACATGACGTTATCATACAAATGTCTATCTCTGTCTGTGGTTTTATAAAAAAAAACGTCTTTGGTCCAAGTCCAATCATTGCTATTGTCAAAAATTGAATGTCCAACGGTTTGACATTAGCTAATTCTAGAGTCCATTTCACGAAAGAAGTCCCGCAGACGCAGCGCTGTATTCGCGCGACATAATGTTGCCACGGTTAAATTTATATAGTATGGGGAAATCAGGAGAAATTGACATTAATTTGATTAACTACGTACTCGAACAGTTCGAGGAATATTTTAAAAATAATGTCTTTTTATATAGGTATTTATGTTTATACTGCTAAGGTCAGATTAGTGAAAAATTAATCTTCCTGTAATTTCTAAAATATAAAATGGAAATAAAGATGTTCAACCAACATCAAATTAGAAACATAAAATAACATTTAAAAAGTTTTATTAAAGTTTTATTGAATAATTATGATCGGTCATACTATGATCACTGTCAGAAGAGTGAATAGAAACAGAATTAGATTCTGTTTCATTATCACTAGCCGTAGATATAATAAATCGATGCATTTCTTCATCCATAAGACCATCATTTTTTTAAAATATTCTTCCTCCAAATGCTGTACATGTTTGCATTGAACTGCCCAATCTTCCGCTGTAACAGTCTCGAACGCCTCTTCTGTTAGGCGTACAATTTCTTTTGGATCTTGGCCCACGTTTTTAACCGCTACCCGTCTGTTTATAACACACGACTCTCCGACACACCTGCAATAAAATGAACAATTAAAAAAAATCTAACAGTGACTTTTTCCGCATTTAATTATATTATTGTTGAATACAATTTTACAAATTTTTGTTGTGTTATGTTAATTCCTCATTAAAAAAACTTAAGTCTAATTGGTAAAAAATATGTTTAATATGGCAGCCCCAAAATTTACCTGTTATGGCGGCAACTCTTTTGCGAACATTGTCTAATGGTATTAAAACGCCGCGATTCTTCTGTTCCGCTTCACAGAACTCTTTCAATTTTAATATCATTTCTCGACCTGCACTTTTTACAACTTTTGGCATCGTAAATAAACCTTATAATGCACTAATTTAATAATAAACTCACAAAATATCTACCACAACAAACCCACCTTGACAACATCGACAAACGACAACATGGCTTAACTCCCCATTTGTCAAATTTAGTTCCACAATTGTCCGCGGGACTTCTTTCGTGAAATGGACTCTATATTGGACAAACACGGAGCAAGCTACTCCTTTCTGATGAACAAAAAACGGTAATTCATGTCCCAAATCTTAGTCTACTTGGGGCCTACTATAATTACATGCTCTGTGGGGCCTACTTTATTTACTTTCAAGGAAAACCACTTATTTTCGTCTAACAATATAATCAAACTAATGAATGATAGTGTATATATAGACAATGCTGATAAAATCAATGAAGCAGTATTTCTTTTCGGATTTCATATTATTTTCTAATAGTATCAATAAATAAGAGTATTTATTACCTTACGCGGTAACCCTGAACATAGTGATGTCATAGTGGCGTATATTTACTGTCCCTTTCATCAGCGACACGCTTTGCCGGCTTACACTTAGACTATAGGATTCTGTCAAGTGTTATCTCTGTCTTTTAAACTCTTTGCTGTCTACGCTGACGCTGTCTATTATCTACGGTAAACAGCTAATATTATGCGTCTTGTTTTTGAGGTTACCTGTCAGTAGTATAATAGTATTATTGTAATTTAAATTCGTTTGATTTGATTATATTACACGTAAACTAATTAGAAATTATGGCAAAGCATCACCCAGATCTTATTTTCTGTAGAAAACAACCAGGTGTTGGTAAGTTTATCTACTGTTAATGTTAATTAATTTAATTAATAAAAACAAATTTGCAATTTCAAAACAAATAATTTTGTAGCTATTGGCCGATTATGTGAGAAATGTGATGGTAAATGCGTGATATGCGATTCCTACGTACGTCCCTGCACCCTGGTGAGGATATGTGACGAGTGTAACTATGGATCTTATCAGGGACGATGTGTAATCTGCGGTGGCCCCGGCGTTTCCGACGCTTACTATTGTAAAGAATGCACTATACAGGAAAAAGATGTAAATATAAACAATTTTACAATTTAACATCCATTTTAACTTAATTCATTCATTTTAACTTATTCAATATTAACAGATACATTTTTTTATATTTGATGGGCCGACGGTTGACTACTATCTCGCCTGATAGTAAGCGATGATGCGGTCTACGATGGAGCACGTCATCCCATAAGCAACCTATTCATTCGGGCCTTGAAAATACCAAAGTTATAATATACCCTTCAGGAAATACAGATTCTGGCAAAGAATTCCACTCCTTTTTTGCAGTAAAAAGAAGATTGATGCAAAGCACTTCATTCTGCTTCAGTTTAGTTCTGCATTCTGGGTTACTTTCTTGTCCTAGTTTCAAAGCTAAACTCTATAATCTTGACAATTCACACATTACTTGACTTTAACTGTAATAATTGTAATATTTTTTTATTGCAGCGGGACGGGTGTCCGAAGATTGTGAACTTGGGTAGTTCTAAGACTGATCTGTTCTATGAGAGGAAAAAGTATGGATTTAGAAGACACTAACTATTGTGTTACTAGGATAACATTTTATTGTATAATTATTATTATTATTTAAAGACAAACTTCATAAAGTTTAACCCGTGGTATGCCAGAATGCAGATTATATGAGACACACGCAATATGTTTTCTATTATATCTCATATACAGGCATACAAGAGGTAAAGACTGCACGGTTGGTGCGGTGGCTGGGCAACCGGGTGCCGAGCAATGTGTGGCGGGTTCGATACCCGCACGGAACAACACTTTGTGTGATCTACAAATTGTTGTTTCGGGTCTGGGTGTGATGTGTATGTGAACTTGTATGTAAACGCACCCACGACACAGGAGAAAATCCTAGTGGGGCAAAGATTCTTTTTGTTTTTTTTTTTTAAAAAGAAAAATGGTTGAAATAATAATTTCAACAGTTATCTGTGATGGTATTCAGTCTTCATTCAGTTTTTGAATATGCTAAAAATTTATACTACAAAAAATAACAATATAGAATGGTGTACCAAAATGTCTGTAAAACCTACACCATTTATAAGTGAACTAAATACATAGACATGGAATAAGATAGAGAAATAGAAACTAATAAATAAAACACATTCACTCTCATAATGTTTATTTCTTTCTATTATGTTTAACTTCTACCCAATATCTATTTACATGGAAATGCAATGTATTACATACAAGCTTAATGAGATGAAAGAAAAATGTAACAAAATATGGTAATTAATTAATTATTATGAGAGCAGAGCAGACTCGAGTGGCCAGTAGCTGCGTGACAATATGAGCCTCTAGCATGGCTTGACACTAGTCTTGTTCCTCGTCAAACAGTTACGTGAGTAAGACGGAAACATAATAATTAATTAGTATGTCCCACGAAAGTTTTAATACAAACTTGGTACTTGTATCAAATTACCATGCTCTATTTGCATTGTTCTATGGTAATTTTCTATCACCCATTTTACTATGTCTACAACTAATTGTATACCAAAATAATATCTTTCCAAACCCTCATATTGTCTACCTATACAATTTATACATTTTAAGTACGATAACCACAATGTTTGTGAGGGTTTCTGGCATTTTTGCTGATGGCATTAATGTAGCGTGAGATCTGTTTGCTATGTCCATTCGCTTCAACTGTCAATGTCCAATAGTTAGAAACTAGTGTTTTGTAATGGACAAACAGACCACATTAGCATCTTCTGATCAGCAAAAAACTGTAATACTCATTACTCAAATCTGTGTCCAAACTAACTTTAAGTCAATCTCTCACAGGAAGGGCTACCAAGAAAATACTATAATAATATAGTCCTGTACCCTTTTCTTTGTTTTACTTCTAACTTCCTCCACTGACTATACTTGCAGCTGAACTGACGGGGTTGGTCCAAATGTTTGCTTCCGTGTCGTTGGAACCAGAGTATGTTGGTCGCGCCGGTATGATAGGTGACCGAACGCATACACTGTAAAATTATGAAAAGTTATAAAATTTTGATTTAGCACCTACGTTCATGTAGTGTTGCAGCGTCCTAAGATGGGTGACGTACAATTTTGTACAATATACTTAATAATGAAACAATTTCATTAATTTCTGAGATGATTTTTTTATAGAATAAGCCGGTAATAGAACGAGCAGACTGACTACCTGATGGTAAGCAATCGGCGCCGCGTGACCGGCCTTTTTGGGATTAGGAATTTGAGGACTATTGGGGATTTGGAAGATTGGCCCTGGGGGTAAATATGAAATAATGTAGCTGTAGTATCTTGCCTCTATACAAATTTGAGAATTAGTCACTAGAACACACGTGGTTAAGTGGAATAAGTGTAAAAAAATTAAAATTAAATTTATTCATGCGCAGAACCAATATTATTATCTATTTTATGATTTTCGGTGTGATGTGTTGTGTGTCATGCATTTTTGCATCCTTTAGATTTTGTGACTGACCTCCCCGAGTTCTTTCTGGAATATCAGCTGAATCCGAACATTGTCCTAAGAACACCATTATAATTAAGTTAAAATTTTGATTCATAGGCATTCCAGATTTGCAAAAGTTCATAATTTCGTTTATTTTTCTTGAATCTGAAGTTTCGGCCGTATAATAATAATAATAGTTTATTTACCACCAAACATACATAGATATAAATACATGATTGCAAATCTTAAAATCTAAAAGACATAAATCTATGCCTAAAGCCTAGATGGCACCACTAGCCGTTTTGATCAATACACCAGTACACCACATTAGATATATTTAACCAAATAATTCGAAAACAGAGAACCACCAATTGAAAAGTGCAAAAAATATGCCCTGTAGTTTTTCCACTAGGTACTTCCAAATACTTCAGTTCCCAACCTGTCGCTTAATAAAGCCACAAAAGTGCAGTACCTATACTTACGAGTTAACATCCTCTAATTTCTTCAGGAGCCTCTCGTTCTCTCTGCTGAGCAGTTCCTGGTCTCTCAGCAAGGAGTCTCTTACTCCGAACAGTTCGCTGTTCTCAGCTCTTAGGGCCGTATTTTCTTCCATATGAAGTTGCACTAATTCTACCAGCTCTGATTGTGGAAGCTGGTACAGTTTATTTGGTTCTATCTGAGTTGGAGTTCTGCGCTGACCTATGGATATTTAAAATGAAGAGTTAAAAAACGTGTCCCTTCGTCCAGCATACTCACCATGGAATCCTGATATTTCATGAATGTCAAAAAACTGTTCTGAAATAGTTTTAAATAGTGCCCAATGGAAAAAAATAGTGCTCTTGTACTTGCGAAGTTATAGCCATAGTTCGATGAGTATGCTGGACGAAGGTTTCGCCCAGCATACTCACCTCCGTCCGGAGAATCTGTATACGCTTCAAACATAATTCATACTTCAAAAAATAGTTCCCAAATAGTGCCAAACGGTGCCCAAAAAGAAAAAACAGTGCTCGAATAACTTCGGAGTTATAGGCTTCGTTCAGTGAGTATGCTGGGCGTAGGTTCTACGCCCAGCATACTCACCTCAGTGCGCGAATATCGAACGAGCTATAGGTACAATTTACGTCTCAAAAAATTGTGCTTGAAATAGTGCCCAATATCAGTCCAATTTTTGCTTGACTTTTGACCTAGAAAACCATTAAATTTGATTGTAAACTTCTACATACATTACATTGAGTACAGTCGAATACAATATTATTAACTTTCTTTCTAACAATTTTTGTCTTGTGTAAATTATTAATTGTCTATGTAAGGGAGTATTTACTTTAGAATCGCAATATTATTAATTACACATTATTTTAATAATACTTTATAATAATATGATTAAGCCTTCGCGCGTCGCATGGGACCCCGGTAGCTAGGAACAATGATTTTATATATTTTGTCTAGATCACGGCGCTTGAAGGATTAAGATATCAAATGAAGTAAATCATGCATGAAAAATAAAGTTGCTGTTATTAATGCTTACATTACAACTGACAAAATTATTCAAAATAATCATTTTCCGGATCAAGGACGGTACCACAACGTTTACGGAATTGACCTGTATTCCTCATGTGATAAAGTTCAATATAGTGTGGCAGTAATGGATGCACGTACGGTCAATAGGTATGGGGCTTACGACGCGCGGCGCCCGCGACGCAAATGAATATGTTTATGTTTAAATACTAGATGGCGCTGCCCTAACATCTTACGATTATTAGACAAGACTGATCTGTATTTTGAAGGTGATAAGGGTCCATTTTGTGTCACAAAGCAACTGGTTATAAGTTTTGCCTGCAACATATATACAAAAAGAAACTGTATAATTTCCTTTTTACAATTTTTCAAGATATTAATTTTATTGGCTGCAAATGACTGTTTTTATTCAGACAAACACACAATGCAATGAAGTAATAGACTTCATTTACGCTTAAAGTTTCATTCATTTATTATTATTTATAAAATATATAATAATGCATTTAATCGAAAGTTTTTGACATGTGAGAAAATACCATAATTATTTCCAATAACATGAAGTCTACAATTAGAAAGTTTAATATTTTTGTCCAAAAACATGTGTCGACGACTGTACCCCATTTTACGTTAGTATGTAGAAGTTTACATTAAAATTTAATGGTTTTCTAAGTCAAAAGTCAAGCAAAAATTGGACTGATATTGGGCACTATTTCAAGCACAATTTTTTGAGACGTAAATTGTACCTATAGCTCGTTCGATATTCGCGCACTGAGGTGAGTATGCTGGGCGTAGAACCTACGCCCAGCATACTCACTGAACGAAGCCTATAACTCCGAAGTTATTCGAGCACTGTTTTTTCTTTTTGGGCACCGTTTGGCACTATTTGGGAACTATTTTTTGAAGTATGAATTATGTTTGAAGCGTATACAGATTCTCCGGACGGAGGTGAGTATGCTGGGCGAAACCTTCGTCCAGCATACTCATCGAACTATGGCTATAACTTCGCAAGTACAAGAGCACTATTTTTTTCCTTTGGGCACTATTTAGCACTATTTCAGAACAGTTTTTTGACATTCATGAAATATCAGGATTCCATGGTGAGTATGCTGGACGAAGGGACACTAAAAAACGATAGTTCGATAGCATGTAGTACTACTAGCATGGCAGGTACTATAGCAGGGTACTATAGCAGGTATTTAAACTGTCAAACACCAAGCGGTCACCGGTGACCGCAACCTATTGTTCTTTAATTGTGTCTATAAATACGGTGCTCGACGAGTTAATACGAGTAGCATGTAGGCTACTCGTATTAAATACCTAGATAAAGAATTAAACCTAACAATCGATACTTAGCTAGTATTAGCATATTATACTACACTAATTTTATTTATTAATAGATCGTGAGCCTCTTATATACTCATAGCATAAATAGTGAAAAGTGGGTGTTACATAGTACAGTGGCAAATATGCACCCCTGACTACCCCTTCGGGGATAAAACACGTGATGTTTTGTTATGTATAATTTTATTTATAGCTTTAATTATGGCCTATTAACAGGCCACGAGCCGTATGATAAATTAGGGAATTGTATAAAAATTAAAAGGTAAAGGTCCTTACTATAAGAATCTAAGTTGTAGTCTGTCTGCACGTGCAGTGCAGTCCTCAGATGTTGGTTCTCAGCTTGTAGAGCTTCCACCTCCCTCTTCAAACTCAAAATGAGAGCGTCTCTCGCATCCTGTAGAGTTAAGAATTTTATTTAGGCACCCAAGTCCGTGAATTAAGCGTGACTACTGACTGAATTAGACAGACTACTTCGGAAGTGAGTACTGTCCTAATTTTGATCAGGATTCTATGAATGAAGTGATGTATAATTTTTCTAGTGTCGATGAAATTCTACCTAAGTGCTCTTGTGCTTACCATTTTGACGATAGGTTTTGATTTGATCTTCTTAGCGCGCGCAGCATATCGGAGAGTGTTTATTGTCTCACTCAAGTTCGATCTCGTTGGAGCTATACAGGCGATCTGGAAAAAAGGGGAAAATAATTGATAATCTGATGTTTCCTGACTTCCTTCTAGTCTAGGATTTGTGAAGTTTAATAATCTGAATAATCTCCAAAAGATTTGTTCTTACCGAGAAGAACGGGGGTTTGGAAAATGGAAATTATCGTTTTTTTTCTTTCCTCTTATAATATCTTTTGATTCACTTCGTTGCGGGAACCAAGACAGTTATTCATGTCCTTTGGACGCGCCGGACTTCAGTGTTCCGATGTCTTCATGGTTTTATCTAGTATAGATCCTGGCTTACAGGTGTTGCAGCGGTTTTGGGAAGTTGTGGCGGGCTAGTACTATTAAAAAATACCCCACAAAACCGTCAACGCTATAGTAGGCAATTTCTCTGGCTGCTTTTGCGATGTCTATGAATATGGTGTCAATTTAATCAAGTTGCTCGTCTCCGCTCTATTCAACAAAATAGCCTTACCATGAGTGTGACTCCATTCCCTGCGAGACTGTCTGCTAGTAGTTTGGTGAGCTTACTGTCCCGGTACGGGATGTGTCCTCGTTTCTTGCCGTCACTTAGCTGTGCTATACAATAACCTGTTGGGAAAATAACTTGAGGTGTTTTAACTTTTCAAACTGCAACATTAATCAGGTAAACAGGGGGGGTCTCGTATAACTCCTACTTTCTACTAATTCCTACTAATATTACGTTTGTTTGTTACTCCTTCACATCAAATCGTATGAAAGGATTGAGATGAAATTTGGAACAGTCGTACACTATGGTCTGGAATAACATATATGCCACTTTTTATCCCACGGGAACATGGGTGAAGCCGTTGCCAAAAGCTAGAGAGTCATACATTGTACATATTGCAGGGCCTATAACAATCTGCTACAAAATTACACTTCTAGCTTATCAATAAGACGAAGATTTGCTTCACAGCAAAATATCATTAAGTTTGGCATACCTAATTAAACTTCTCCGTACTTATTTTTCTAACTTACCAAGCACCATAAGACTCCTGTTGATATTATTCGCTTCTTCCAAAGTCTTCCCCGTGCTATGAGTCCGTTTGGTCATCTCGCTGCCGGCGAGGTCGACGAAGTTGATCTTCCCGTGCGTGGAGCAGACGACGCCGGCGTCCTCGCGCAGGTCGCGGCGCACGCGCACGCACAGCACCGTGTGCGACCGCGACGAGTGCGCGTTCATCGCGTGCGCGCCCACTGCACGGTTGCGCATGCCTGGGACACGGCGCGGGGTTAAGGGACTTCTTGTTGGACCGATAGACAACTTTAGTAGTTTACAAACTGGTATAATTAGGAAATGACTTCAATATCTGAAGTGACTAATAGTTTTATTGTAATAGAGATATCAAAAAGTCATGATTAATGCAAGACTTTGGCAAAACAGACGATTTAGTATGCACTCGATAAAAAGAACATATTTTTCCTCGTCTCCTCTGTTTTACAACCTAGTAATCAATAACTTATAGAAAAAAGGTTTTAAGCTATGCCTTACGAAGGTTTATTAGTCACCTACCTTCTTCTAGAACAGCAAACAAGTCATCAAGAGTTTCACAGTCCACCGTAAATAGATTTTCTACATAAAATCCCCTACTTTCTTTAGACCACCGCACCTGTAGTGGTTTCCGAGCACTGCCTGGGTTTAGGAGATCTATTACCTGGAACCAAGGTGTGAAATGAGAATGGCAAAATGGGAACTTATGGGATCTCTAATGAAAGACACTAAACATATTTTCAACAACCATTCTTATGTGTGATAATGGTTGCCTCTACTCTAGCAATGAGAACGAATTATCATTTTTAGTCCCTCCAGGCGCTAATGTAACGTCAATTCCTATTTTGGAAAACCACAGTACCTTGCATAATCTATGAAGAATTAGACAACAACCTTAATACCTTTAATACTTTAATAGTTCCTCATTTATTACTGTATTACAAAAGTAACAGTACAGATATCGGAAATCTTTGCTTATCTTGTCAGATGTAATTTGTAAGTAAGACATGGTAGTAACATACCTTTTCATTATATATTTCTAAGAAGGATGCCTTGAGTATGAAGTGTGACTCAGGTCTTTCGGAGATAAGTCGGAACAGGTGGACGAAGGAGCGGACCACCAGGCCATGTCCTGGAGCAAATGGACTCGCCCCGCTCTCAACCTGTAACACAAATAGAACCTATATAACAAATTACAAAGAACTAAAAATTATAAAACTGGTCTAGATCCGAGGTACCAACTACTTACAAAATTACGCTGGTACGGACTTTTGCTATTTGGAAAAAAAATTAAAGAAAAAACTTTTCAAATAATTTAGCCTCCCTTGGTCTTACATATTTACGAAATGATTACGTACGATGAAATGCTTTTGGCAGTGTACGATGAGGTATAGTGTTGTTGAAGTTAAAGGCCCAATGACCCTCCCCCTCATGTCTGCCTAATCCCCGAATCCCCCACAATCCTCAAATTCTCAATTCCCAAAAGACCGGTAACACACTAGTAATGTCTCTGGTGTTTCAGGTGTCCATGGGCGGCGCAGATTGCTTACCGTGACGTGACCCATATGCTCGTTTACAGGCTTATCCCATAAAAAATTACGCTTGTTTGTTTTCCAATTTAAGTTAACGAAAAACGTTTCTATTTATATCAAAGCTTAGGACTTAGGAGTTATATACTAGACGTAGCCTACTGCCTATCTACTTACGAAGTTTATTAGCCATAAATAATCATTTAGCGGCTATAAAACATAATGAGTGCACCTCGCGTGACGTCACATGTCACGCGTTGTAGTTTTAGCGTGATTGACTTTTTAATTGTCGCTAGTTTGTGTTGAACCTATTGTGGTAATGTAACAATGTTGTATAAAATGTAAATTAGGTAATACAGTCGTTATAGAATAACAAAGTAACTAAGTATAGAGCTTGCTAATTCGGTTGGTTTTTAATAGTGGAAGTTAGGTGGGAATAAGTCACCTGCCCTAGTCGGTTTCATATGATGTTAGCTGTTTGAAAACTTTGTTAGCCGTTTGTTTTGTATAAGACACTTAAGTACCTAGCTTTTTATCGCAAAAATAACTTGGTATTTAAGGGTAGCTCGCACTATCAAAAGTAATGAGATTTCACGTAGAGTCAAGTTTCTAACGTTAAATGCCCAGCCCGAAATCTATAGTCTTAATACACATAAGTTACGACGAAGTATTACAGACGTAGCACGTAGTTCGTAACGCGTAGTACGTAGCTAGTAGGGAATAGCGCGTAGCGCATAAAGCGGCGCCCGTAGTGCGTTGTTTGTAGAGCGTTGTTTGTAGAGCGTAGTTTGTAGCGCGTCCGTCGTAGCGCATTGTTCGTAACGCGTAACTTGTAGCGCGTAGTTCGTAACGCGTAGTACGTAGCTAGTAGGGAGTATCGCGTTGTGCATAATGTGGCGCCCGTAGTGCATAGTTTGTAGAGCGTAGTTTGTAGCGCGTCCGTCGCAACTCGTAGCGCATTGTTCGTAACGCGTAGTTTGTAGCGCGTAGTTCTTAGCGCATAGTAGATTGTTTTTAAAGTGGTAATTATTGCATTTTGTATAATATGTGGATAGGTAAATCAGACTAAACTAATCGTTTCACACACTTTTGGGTTTTTACAGCATATATACCTACTTATATCACATTATCTATATTAAACAGCGAACCGGCTGCTAACGATGAACTGGTATGCATCGCGTGACATTGTCTATGTTACGCCATTGTTTTAACGTGATTACCTTTATAATTGTCGCTGGTTTGTTGTGAAGCTTTCTGTAAATTGATGGGTTAATTTATCGCTTACCGACCTGGCGTTGCCTATCTTACTAAAGTAAATGATTATAGTGTCTTGTGAACTTGATTAAAGAAGGAATAAGCTTACATAACACGGGGCAAGGCAGAACTAGAAATGTTTATACCTAGCACCTACATTTTCGCTAGGAACGTGAAGAGTTTTTGATAAATATCGGACATAGCCAATTGCTGTCAACGAAAGGAAAAATTAAATTCGATTTTATTGGGTCTTTGACCAAACCGCTAATTAAATCTGAAACCTTGCATTAGCGACAGTCGTTAGAACAATAAGTCAATCAGTAATAAACCCTCCAATATTAGCTTTAAGTTCGAAATTTACATACACTCCTATTCCAGAAATTCATATACGGTTCACCTATCAATGAATCTGTCGCAATCATAACCCATCAATGCACTATACATACATACAAACAATGTATCTACTTTCGATCGATAGCCCCCACGAGGTCGGAATGGTCTGTCATTTCGAAGCCGTTATTAACTTATGTTCACACTAAACTGTAGTTACGGATGTTTGTCAGTCATTTCCTGATCTTCAGTTGCTGATAAGGGAATTCAAAATTTCCTAGTATGATATTGATGTTTCGGTGGGTTTTTGGAGTGTTAGATTCTGATATCGAGGTACCTATGTGCGATTAATAACTAGCGGTAGTTGTTCTAATCGTGTACTTTCGCCAGTGTAAGCACATAATCTATATATATAAAAGAAAGTCGTGTTAGTTACACCACTTATAACTCAACAACGGCAGAATAGATTTGGCTGAAAATTGGTAGGGAAGTAGCTTAGAGCCAGGAGACCGACATAGGATACTTTTTGACCAATTTTTTTTTTACTTTTTACCGAAAATCACGAACGGGGACAGGAAAAATAGGATTACGCGTACGAAGTCGCGGGCAGAAGCTAGTATTTTATGAAACTTTAGAATTATAAAAATCTGAAGGAAATATTGACAAGCTATTTATCATTTTCTTTTTGTACTTAGTGACGGTGTGCAAATAATCAATTTTTCTTTTTTACTTTCTTCTTTTCTTTCTAATGATATCTTTTAATTTATAGATCTCTTCCACTCGTTCGTAGATCTTTTGGTTTTCTCATGTGATATAGATACCATTACAACTCAGGAGTTGTTGTTACAGTGGATAGTTTTTGGAAACTGTCCTAGATTTGTAGCATACCTGTCGATCTTACCTGTACGTTTCATCTAAGAAACTATGACTAAGGATTTAGCTACGTGGTGAATTCTGCACTACTTAATTACTGTATAAGGTACCTATAAAATAGAAGACTCACCAATCCTGGAGGTCCAGTCAGTGTGTGTGTCTTCCCACTACCCGTCTGTCCGTAGCAGAAGGCGGTGCATGAGAACCCTTCCACTGCCATCTCCAACAGTCTTTTAACTCCAGAATATTCTAGAATGTCTTCCTGCAACATTATTTTTTTGCAATTTATTAAACTGATATCTTGAGTTACTGACTAAATTAAGCTTTTTGTACTAACTACTTATAGGAAAGGCTAAAAAAGAGAACAATTATTGAGAAAACGTCGATATAGGTATGATAATAATTAGAACAATGGATTAAGAATGGATTGTAGACGTGTGTAATGGAGCTAGATTTTGAGATAAATAAATAAACTAGGAAAAGAGTTCTTAATAAGTGATCACGGAAATCTGTTGTTTATCAGTTTTGGAAAAAAATAATTACCTGTGTCGCCTCAGGTTCGAAGACAACATTATAAGAGAAAACTTTCGCCTTTTGACTGGGTGTAGTATTATGGCAGACCACCTGCCCCTTGCCGGGGAACTCCAGCAGCGTCCGCTCACCACATGAACGCTCCTTCTCACTGATTGGTCGCACCCTAACAAAGGTAGATATTGGTAAAATTAGAGAAAGTATATTACAATAAATAAATAAGTCTTTTTACGTTTTTTTATGGCATAACCCGGTAAACGAGCAGTCCGATCACCTGAAGGTAAGCAATCGGCGTCGTCCATGGACACCCGGAACACCAGAGGCGTTACAAGTGCGTTACCGGCCTTTTGGGGATTAGGAGTTTGAGGATCATTGGGGATTCAGGGATTGGGGAGATTGGAGAAGGGGAGGGTAATTGGGCCTCCGGTAACCTCATTTACACGACGAAACACAACGCAAGCGTTGCTTCACGTCGGTCTTCTATGAGGCCATGGTATCACTCCGGTCGAGCCGGCACATTCGTGCCGAAGCATGGCTCTCCCACACTTACGTACGTAGTCAAGTTCTATTCGTATGTAATTTTTAGCACGAGTTTTTTAGCGGAACATTTCGGAACTTTTTCACTAGGGGCTCACAATGATTGCTATTTAGTATACCTAAGTATTATTGTATGTTTTAGATCTTAGAACCATATTGTAATCATAAAACTAGGATGCAATACCTACGTTCCAAAAATGGTAAAAGATAGATAAACCACTTCTTAAGGTGTTTTTTAATACCAAACAAAAGACTCCCTCTTCTGAATAACTAGATTTGGCAGTCTGTTATTTCAGTATTCAGTGTTTACTTTAGCTCCGATTATTGACAACCAAAAAATTGAATAGCAATTTGTTTCAAAGTTTGTAATGATAATGATCCTCCAATTGTTCACTGCTGTTACAAATCGCCTAACTATACAGCTAATGGTAGGAACATTAAAATTAAATGCTCACAGTTCAATATAAAAGGGGAAATTACGGAAATATTTATATAGAAACCTGATATTAAAATGGTTGAAATTAATCTCAGAAAAGTGTCGTGTACCGTGTACTTGGTGGTTTATAACAGGGCTGTCCAAAGAAAGGCCCGTGGGCCGCATGCGGTCCGCTGCTAGTTTTCATGTGGACCGCATTTCAATCACACATTTTAATCGTTGAGATCTTCATCTTATGTGCAACAACAATAATAAAATTCAGTGTATGATTTGTACATACAAGTTTAATCTATGAGTAAGGAATACAATGTTAATCGTCATTATACAACGATAAAATATTTTTCTGGCCCTCCCGCTTTTGTGATACATTTAATTAGGGTATATAGTTTAGGCAGCCCTGGTTTAGAACATCGATCAATCGGGGGCGGAGTCGTCCTTTCAGATTGAAACTGATTGTGTGAAGAATATTCATGGATTTACAGGGGACTTTTGTTTATTTGAAGTATTATTATACTAAAATATTTGTTTTTATTATTTATGAATCTGATTTGATTGCCTTGTAGCTCGACAAAGAAAACTAACCATAATAATTGAGATTTTGGATTCAAACCATTGTTTTACCTTATAAGGTTTTTCGAATTACCTACAAATTTTCTTGTGACATTCAAATGAACTGATTTGTGCACGACGACATCGCTAAGTCGCGAGCCGCCCTCGACGTGTCGTAAACTTGTTGAAACCATGTCGAAAAGGCAAGTTCAGACACGAACATCAAAGGCGTGCGGCGGCATTCCTTTGTTCCGCGCCGCCGCTGCTTGGTTTGAACTTGCCTTTGAGCATGTACAAACATGACTCAACGTCGCAGAGCGGCCGAGCCGCGAGCTCAAATCGACAGGAATTATCCTGTCCGCGCGCCTCGCATACAAAAGGACTGTACCCGGCGAGGCGCATTCATTGTCAATTCATCAGAGCGTCAGAACAGTGTGTGTAGTTATTATATAAAGTCGATTGTAATTCGTAATATTGTGAATCTCCACTAGTGTTAACATTATCGTAATTAAAGTATATCAGTGTACAAGAGTCTCTCCAGTTTTCATTTCTACAGTCCATTTGCTCTCCAAAACCACCAAGCTCGTCGAGGACAGATCCACAGCTTGATCCCTCCGAGCCCGCACATTTTCTGGTCCTTCGCAGCCGAATAAAGTTCTAGCAAGATGGTGTTAACACGCAGCCGTAGTGGAGAATCCAGGAGAGAACAGACCCAGCAAGAGCCTTCAGTGACCGCCGGACCGGGTGCCAGCAGCTCGGCACCAGAATCGAGCTCGGTCCGAGTGACGGACACTGGAAGCGGGTCTACGACGACTACCTACATAGACGCCACGCATGGTACGCTCAAGCCCAGCGATACCAGGTCACGCCGCTCTACAAACTCGAAAAGAATGCGCCTCGCAGACCTGGAGGCCCAAGAGCGGCTGGCTGAGATGAAAGCCAGTGAAGCACAGGCTAAGCGCGAGCTGCAGGAAGTACGGTTGCAGCGCCTCAGAGTCGAAGCTGAGTCGAGCGACGACGAGGAGTTGGTGGACGACCTCGCCTCCGTGAGTATTGGAACGTGGCTAGCGCGTCCCGCGCCGCCACCCGGAGGTGAGACTCGGCCGCCGCCACACGACGTCAGCGGCGGGAGCATCAGCAGGGACGCAGCCCACGCAGCGACAACGACGGCGAGCGGCGCCCCGGCGGGCGCGCAACCGCCGCGAGATGACAACGGCTATGGAAAAGTGTGTGAAAGTGCGTGTGCGAAAACAATGGGCAATATCGCGAGTGTAGTGTCACACGGTAACGTGAGTGATAAAGTGATAGACGTAGGAACACTCGCCGCGGCACTAGCGCAGGTCATGCGCAGTTCCAGAGAGCCCCCGAAGTACATGCAGCGACTACCAGTCTTCGACGGAAAACCCGGTGAGTGGATAGCTTATAAGGCCACGTATTGTGACTCACACACGTACTTTTCTAGCGTAGAAAATGTTGCTAGGATTAGGATAAGCCTCAGAGGCGCCGCAAAGGAAGCTGTAGGGAGCTTATTATATAGTCAATCTGACTCTCAGGTCATTCTAGACGCACTAGAAAGACGTTTTGGTAGGCCTGAGGCCTTGATAATGACAGAATTAGATAATATAAAGTTATTACCTAGATTAAATGATAACCCTAGGGATATTTGTATATTTGCTAACCGTATTGCAAACACGGTGGGTACGGTAGAAGCACTAAATAGAATTCAGTATTTACATAGCCCCGAAATGTCGCGTAATATCATAGAAAAGTTAACGCCAATATTAAGAAATAAATGGTATGATTACGCGGCTTATAGAAAGCACGAAGATATTCCCGTATTGAAACTGTTATCTATGTTTATGAATGAAGAGGCCGACAAGTGTAGCGCGTACGCGCTGCCGGAGCTTGTTAGTGATAACGCCATTGATGTACGACAACGGCGCAGAGTTGAGCGCACGTTCATCGTGAGTAAAAGAACATCAAGTGAGCTATGCCCGGCATGTAAACAACACGGTCACAAATTACCAGACTGCAATAAATATAAGCAGCTAGACATAGATACTCGGTGGAATATAGCGAAATACAATAACATGTGTTTTAGGTGTTTACGAAATAAACACAGAAGATTTATGTGCAGAGCGCCTATTTGTAACGTAAAGGGATGCAACATGAAACATCACAAACTGTTGCACAAAGAACGTGATGTTAATTCAATACGCAACACAGCGCCGCACGCGCCGCTATCAATGACGCCTGTTATCGCACACGAAACCGTGACGTCAGCGCGCGAGACAGTCTCAACGACTTCGCCTCGTAATCGCCGCGCGTACTTGAAAATTGTTCCTGTGACGTTACGCGGACCACGTACAAGTATAGACACATACGCCTTGTTAGACGATAGGAGTACAGTCACCTTGTTAGACGCGACAGTGGCAGATATCCTAGGTGCAGATGGACCAGCTAGTCCTATGCAGATACAAGGCCTAGGTACGGAAATCAAGTATGAGCAAAGCCGCACTGTTAGTCTCCACATACAAGGCAAGTACAACAGCGTCCCGCAGAAGATAGAGGCAGCGCGCACTGTAAATAGTTTAGAAGTCATGGCGCAGACTGTACACACAGAAGACATAAACAATTGTAGACATTTGAACGATATAAGAAGCACTCTTGTTTATGAACGCGCGCGACCGATGATTTTGATTGGTCAAGATAACTGGCATTTATTAGCAGCTACAAAAACACGTTCAGGTGCGCGCGATCAACCGGTAGCGTCATACACGAAACTCGGTTGGGTATTACATGGATGTCAGTACTCAGTAAATAAAAACATAGATACATTTTGCGGCCACATTACTATTAAGGAAAATCCAGAACCAGTTGAAGCAACCATGAGAAACTTCAAAGTAGAATCATTATGTGTAGAACCTAGGATACCTAAAAACAAACCACAACAGCAAGACTTAGGTATCCTAGGTCCGAAGAGTCAACGATTGCGCGATGACAGCATCGAGACCAGATTATTAAAGAAACAAAAAGCACCTATAATGCCAAGTAATTATCCAGGTACCCTAAATCTAGATCAGTGCCTAGATAAGGACGAACAACGCGCCAAACGTCATGTGATCAACAAAATAAATAGTCCAGTTAAATACATACATACACTTGCTGCTTACGCACAACGCGCCGAAGAACGATGTGACAAGGACGTGCAAGCCGAAAGCTTATCAAAAGGAATCGCCGCCACCCAGAATAACAAAGCGGCGCCTAGCAACAGCGCGTTATCAGCGCTCAGTACATGTGGCGCAAGCGCACGTGTTTTACGTTTGCGCGGGAGAATCACAGCGGTGGCAAACGTGAATGCAGAATCCAATAAACCTGTTATATTCGCACGTAAGCACAAGTATAAGAAATTAAGGATTACGTATTTGCACAAACAATTACATAATAGTAGGAACGACATAAGACAGCGTCATAGGATTAAAAAACTACGTTCGTCTGTAAATATTATTAAAGGCTATTTGTTTTGCAAAATGAGAAAAGTTATGCCAGCTTACCCCTGTACGAATAAGCTACCGTACCTCCGTTTTGTTTATTATGTACAACCTTATGTATTAGGTTATTTAGGTTCCATGTGTGTAGCTATAGATAGCCACAACGTTAAAAGATATGAAGCCTTATTTACTTGTTTATCGAATATACATCGATATACATAGGAATAGATAGGTTTATAGATACCGTATAGGATAGTTTATAGACATGGATAGTCTATAGTTATAGGTATAAGTATAGTTATAGGTTAGCTTATAGGTATAGGTTAGTCTCGTTAGGTAGGTACTTATTTCAAAGCGGCAGATAGGGACCTAGGCATAAGTGCCTTAAGCGCTTTAGGTAGTGAGTCCAATGCGCGGTCTATAAGCTTGAAGCTTATACCACCGGTGTCGCCGTTTTGGCAAGATGAGTATGTGAATACCAGCCGCTCCTTCAAGACCCTACGGCAGCTGCACTCCACCCAAGGTTGGAGACGTCATTGTGATCTCCGACCCTTACCTCCCACGCAACAGTTGGTTCAGAGGAAGGGTGACACAGGTGCTGCCAGACGCAGATGGAGAGGTACGAGTAGACCACAACGCCATGACCAGACGACTCGTACTACGAAGACCAACGAAGCGCATTGTCGTGCTCCCCACGGAGTCGCCTGACGGCGACGGCGGGAGAAGTGTGCACGACGACATCGCTAAGTCGCGAGCCGCCCTCGACGTGTCGTAAACTTGTTGAAACCATGTCGAAAAGGCAAGTTCAGACACGAACATCAAAGGCGTGCGGCGGCATTCCTTTGTTCCGCGCCGCCGCTGCTTGGTTTGAACTTGCCTTTGAGCATGTACAAACATGACTCAACGTCGCAGAGCGGCCGAGCCGCGAGCTCAAATCGACAGGAATTATCCTGTCCGCGCGCCTCGCATACAAAAGGACTGTACCCGGCGAGGCGCATTCATTGTCAATTCATCAGAGCGTCAGAACAGTGTGTGTAGTTATTATATAAAGTCGATTGTAATTCGTAATATTGTGAATCTCCACTAGTGTTAACATTATCATAATAAAGTATATCAGTGTACAAAAGTCTCTCCAGTTTTCATTTCTACAGTCCATTTGCTCTCCAAAAAGGACCAAGCTCGTCGAGGACAGATCCACAGCTTGATCCCTCCGAGCCCGTACATGATTTTTATTATTATTTTATCAGTAACCGGCTAAAAAGTTTTGAACTGTAGGTATGCTAGCTGTTATTTCAACTGAAATAACACATTCAATTTTTTTATTCGCCTAGCATTTGACTTTTCCTTCTAAATTACTCAGTACGATATCACTTAATTAATGTCATTGTGTAACGCCATCTCCTATGGACATAGGATACAAAAATACAAAAAAAAAAACTATTAACATGTATATTTTACTAACATCGTATCAGCAATTTTGTGAGTCTTGGTTACTTTAAAATAAATGATTTTATTATTAATTATTATAATTCACCCAAAGCTATCAAAAATCTACGTATTGCAACAAAAACTAGAGATGTTTTACAAAAATTCAGAATTCTGCGATTCATTATCGTCTACCTACCTGAACAAATTCGTCCATTGTCAAGGTGTCATTCGTACGAGTATCGATTTCTTAACATTTAACAATATCATGTCAATAACCCAAATACCTAAGTCATGTTCGATTAAAAGCATCGATACATAACACTGCCCTGGCAATTATTGGCCGATTTTTATTCTGTGAATCGTCTCTCTGATTATATGTTACAACTGTTAGGTACATTGTTATGGTTGATACAGTTTGATGCATTAACGCTGTATATTGTACCTTAATTGCTTATGGTATAGGTTCACATTTTGAAGCTATTGTTAGTGGTACGTAATTCAAAATTTTGTTTAGATACAATCTTCACTTTTCTCAAGCTCAAGTCAAGATTCACATTGTCATTTAACTGCACGGTTAGGCGGTAGCTAGGCAACTGGCTGCCATGTGCATGTGACATTGTGTTTGTTAACGCACCCACGACATAAGAAAAAATCCTAGTGTGGGGCAACGTTTCTACAAAACTCACGTGAATATTCTGACAAAAGCTCTAGTAGGCTGCGCGACATCGCCGTGACCGCGCACGCTGCTCATGCGGAAGAACTCTGTGGTTCGAAACTAGTAGAGCTTTTCTCAGTATAATCACGTGAGTAACCCGCGAGTTTTAGTTAATTTAGTATGTCTCATGATAGTTATTATAAAACAATGTGTATAGTCTCCTGAACTGTATCTTACCTGACTACTACGTTGATGTTGTCTTCATCAGCATTGAGTGTAGTGCTGGAGCCACGCGTACTTCTGTCCAGGCTGCCAGCTCTACTGCTGCCGCTGTAATTATTGGTAACGATTAGTAGGCAAGTAAATTTTAGCCGGCTTAATAATAACCAATTAATTTTATAGCTGCCCCATTGGCTGAGTGGTCGCAAGTGCGACTGCCAGGCAAGGGGTCTCGGTTCGATTCCCGGGTCGGGCAAAGTATTACTGGTTCTTTCAAGAACTTCACGGTAGTAGCACGGAGTCTGGAATTGTGCCCGGTATAGCAATAGGCTCACCCCCTATTACATGGGACTTATAAGATAAATACTTAAATAGTGAAAAGTGGGTGTTACATTGTACAGTGGCATAATATACACCTCTGCCTACCCCTTCGGTGATAAAAGACGTAATGGTATGTTCATTTTATAGCTGAGTATTGGTTGAAACCAAATAAAAGTAGAAACAAATAGAATTTTCATATGAAACTGAATGGAGCTCTAAAGCTTGTCTCTTTAGTATATAGATTAAAACAAAAGGATGATTTTAGGGTGTATAGAGAACAAATAACACTGTCACTCAGATATTAAAGTCAGTCATTATATTAAAGTCAGAAGTTAAAGTATTACTAAGCGTCGTCTTTGAATAGTTTCCTAGAAAAAAGTTATACAAAGAAATTGTTTGTTAGCATAGAAAACAGCTTCTGCCTACAGTATTAAAGAAACGATTGTTTAAAGTCCAAGCGACCTAGATATAAGTGTTGACTTTACGTACCTAATAGTCAGCCATGAGACAATTTTCTCTACAAACTGTCACAGAATACTTTGATGCCAGAAATTGCTTATTTTTTATGCATGGAAAGTAATGGTGCTAGCAGAATCGATTGCTTGTACGATATGCTTTTTGATTTTGCATTCGACCTGATGTCAAGGTCATGTCGTCAAGTGGTATTTAGTAAATAGCCAGGAATATCAAATACATACTAGTTTTCAGGAATTGTTCAAAATAAAGACTCGTTGAAGTGATAAGCGAAAAAACTCATTTCGTTTCTCGTTTAAAAAAAGTTGTTTAACAACCATCATTTTAAAAGTGGTCAACATTTTTTAATATAGACAAACAAATTGGAGGTCTGTTTGTAGAATATTTTGATTCTTCATGAAAACAAATGACTTTGAATGAAATCCTATCTTCTATTTCGGTTGCAACCGAAGATTCCGAAAACTAAATATTTCTATGCATTTCTTTAACACCCGTATAACGAGACCACTACTACATTTTCCTTTAACCAAATTGAACAAAAAGTTCACAAAGTTGCAGTAACTACTTAACAGTTGATGGTATGCAAATGTTTATTAACCAATTCGTTACCTTCATGGCAATTTGTATATTATTTGGTCGTCCATAGCCACAACCGCATCGAATTTAATACACGGTAATTTGAGCAAAACCTGAAGGAAATGTAGCGTCCAAGTATTTCCTTTGCGTGGTAATCAGGAGTCTCACGCCATGCTATGATGAATTATGATTGAAGATTGAGTTTAAAAATAAATATGTAAATAAGATAGCTTACTCACTAGGGTAAGCTTTGGAATTAAGAGGATTATAGTTTTATTTTATTTATTTAGGTAGGTCCTAATGTTATGTTTACGTAATTGTAAAACGCTCCTAATTACTAATAAGTATAAGTATTACATTTTTCATTTACATATCTATAAAACCAGATTAAAAATAATGAGTCAGTAGCATGCAGATATGCATTGTAAAAAGCTTTAAATTTTACTTAAACTTGTTAAATATACCTAGACAAGACAAACATCAATCTACCGATAATTTGACTAACAAAAAGTCTAGGAACTTCCCTAGAAACACAAATTCGTGCAATAAATAAATAATTTTAATTAAACACTTCGGTCAATAGGTTCGCGTGATTTACATAAATTGTAGGTAGAACCACAAATTATTCCCAGAAATGCTTTAAGTGAGGGTAGTTGAATATTCAAACAGATTTAGTCGTGATTGACAGCTGGCTGAGTTGTGGCGTCGGGCTGACTAAATGCCAAGGGCTCGCCTATTGACCGCTGCGCTGGGGCACTAGTCTACTATAGAGACACCTACCTCTAATAAGGCTTTTGCTCTTTCACTTTAATTGAGGATATTGACGCTATCAAAGTTTGAGGTAATGAAAACAGGACAGGTCACAGAAATGAGAAGAGGTACGAAAGGATGTCGTGGTGGCCCGGGTTCGAAATCTACAATGTGACTTTTTCCGAGTTACATGTACTTTCTAAGATTACACGCCCCTTTTTTTTATTTATTTGTTTATTTATTATTACATTTCAGTACAGTTTAAAATCTCCTTACGTTTGTTATTGGTGAAGGAAGACATCGTGAGGAAACCTGGACTTATAATTTCTAATTATTAGTTTGTAATCGCCAACCCGCATTGAGCAAGCGTAGCGATTAATGCTCAAACCTTCATGTGAGAAGAGGCTTTGCTCAGCAGTGAGCATTTATAGGCTGTTGATGATGACGGTTGATGATGACGAAAGGACAAGAAGTTGGATGTTATAATGACGTCTGATAAGGAAGAATGGCAAAACATAATATTTTAAGCACTGCACTGATACTGCAAGGAACTTTGGCTTGGGATAGCGTTCAGAAGAAGAAGAAGAGATAAACGTGAAGTAGTCGTGCTTATTTTATTTTGAAAGAAAGTACTTAATCGAAAGAAAACTAAATCTATCTATAGTATAAATAGTTATACGGAGTCGCGGAGAACCTAACGGGTTACCGGGGCTCCGGCTCGAAGTGCAGGAGTAGGAACAGGGTGTTTTTTAGTCAGTAAGAGTCTCACCCAGGCGGGAGCAGTCATTCGATGATTTTCCGCCATTGAAAAAAAATATATAAAAAAAAATGAAATTCCATTCTTTGTCTCGCTAAAACTCGAGAACTGCTTAACTGAATTGGCTAATTTTGGTTTTGAAATGTTCCTGAAAGTCCAAGGAAGGTTTAAAAGTATGAAAATTAAATTTTTTTGGCGGTATTAAGTTTGCCTGGTCAGGTAGATACCTATATAAATAAGCTTTTCGTGTGATGGAAGCAGAGAAAAACCCAGAGATAGCAAAATCATTAATACAGGGACTACATTTTCTTTATCGGTATTTTCTTTGTTCATAGCAAATCCCATATAGTTAATATAAAACCGACGTGTCGTTCTACGTTATCTATTATTTACGTATTATCTACTACCAACCTACGTATTTGAAGAAAAACTGACTTTTCATGTGTTATTGATATTTTCGTTTAATTTAATTTTTAATGCAACAGTGTGTTTGTTTTTATAATAGTAACGAATGTTGAAGAATTTGTTGGGTATAGAAATAGAGAGAAACTCTGGAGACACAATAGACTTTGTAGAAATTGGCAAGATGATTAGAAGGCAGGCATACCTACCTAGAATAGAAATCTTTATTAACATGGACAAAACAAGATATTTTTCAATAAAGTCGACAAATCCCTTGATTTACTAATCACAACTTTTTTTAAAGGGGGGAACATCATGTCATCAATGACTTCTCCCGCGTGGGTGAAGCGGAAGGGAATGTTAGACTCTTACTGACTAAAAATCACCCCGTTCCTACTCTTGCACTTCGAGTCGGAGCCCCGGTAACCCGTTAGGTTCTTCGCGGTTCACTAATCACAACTTGCCTCTTACATGACAGGTCTTTTTTTAAGGGGGGAAAATCATCGAATTACTTCTCTCGCATAGGTGAGGCGGGAGGGAGTGTCAGACTCTCACTGACTAAAAACCACCCCGTTCCTTCTCCTGCTCTTCGAGTCGGAGCCCCGGTAACCCGTTAGGTTCTCCGCGGTTCACTAATCACAACTTGCCGCTTACATGACAGGTCTTTTTTTAAGGGGGGAAAATCATCGAATTACTTCTTTTGCATAGGTGAGGCGGGAGGGAGTGTCAGACTCTTACTGACTAAAAACCACCCCGTTCGTTCTCCTGCACGTCGAGCCGGAGCTATATAACCATGACAGGTCTAGAAACTGAATAGGTCACGGCCAAGGTTGAACACATGCAACTGATAGAATACGTTTACTAAATTATTCATTCCAACTTTACGAACTGTGATACTAACGTTATGGCAGGCAATAGCCAATCGTACCAAATTGGTTAATTACGTAGGCAGTATATAAGGTCACTTAGCTTTAACATTTAGTCATTTGTAAGGGTTACTTGTGGGGTGCGGTGCCAGAAGACCTCCCCGTGGTGCACCCTGGGTGCGGGCGACAGTCTCCCTAGCGGGGGTGATAGGGTTGGAGTGACTGTCGCCCGCAGCAGACTTCTGGACTGGGCGGGCGAACCCGATAGGGTTCTGGAGGCGGCGGGCTGTGTGCTCATGGCCCGCGCTTCCGTGGGGCGTTTCTCCGCCTGTCTCTCTGATTAGCAGAGAGCGTGGCGGAGAGGCAAGGGCGGTGCTCGTTGTGCACTCACCCTGCCAGCGAGCAGCATCGGGACACAAGCTGTCCCCGATTGCAGCCGTCGATATCGTAATCCGTAAGGAGGTCACGGTCATGTTTTGTGACTCTGAACGGGACGAGGGTCTTGGCTTGGTCGCCCGGACCGCGAGGAAGATAACCTCTATAAAAAATTCCTCCAATACTAAGTTCTGGTGCGCGGCGAGAGTATGCATGGCTGAGGAGTAGTGTCAGTCGCGAGCGCACCCCCAGCTAGGGGACCAGTGGAACCTCTAGTTGGGAAACAAATTAACACTTACCCAGGTACAGGGGGCACTGCCTGGGTGGACCGAATATTTCCCCCATACTCGTGGGAACT